CACAATATTATTGCATTTTAAGCAACATGCCCCATATGGCCACTTTTGGGCTGTCTGAGCTGGTCTCGTATTCAAATGAACTCCCAACTTGATGCACTGGTAAACTCTAACAATTATGTATTCTTGGGGAGCCAACACTTGATGAAGTAGTGGAGAGGCACCTTCACACAGACAGATGCACAGTTTAGTGTGTTCTCAGAAGACAGGGCTCTTTACCTTTGATGATACCAATGGATATGCAATAACTGTCAACATCAAACTCTATTTTGTGATTCCCATGGAGTTCTTGGGGACTTTAGTTGAACCCAGGGGGATTGATAGGCAGCAACAGTGGTTCCAACAAGACAGAACCATACCCCATACACCCAGTAATGCACAATAATGGCTTTTGGACCACTGCAATGACCACATTATCAGCAGTACAACAGACAATGAATGGCCACCCCATAGCCCAGATATGGCCCCATTTAATCTTTACCAGTGGGGATACCCCAAAGATAGAGTGTAGGGTAATAACACCAGAAAGACATTTGACCTCAAAATAAAGATCACATGTGTCGTTTAGGCCATACTTGCTGAGGAATGCAGTTACGTCATTAACAGGTTTGGAAAATGTGTGCAGGTTTCCCTACAGCACGATATTGGAAAACGGGGGCACCTTGTTTAAAGTGCTGTAACATTGCGACTATCAGTCCAATGTTCATGAAATAATGCAGTCTAGTATGAAATTGAATGATGTACATGTGTGCCAAATATCAGGGCAAAATTTCTAAAAATGACAAAGATATGAGGAAAAATTAGGGTTGCCGTTTTTTTTACCACCCTGTACCTACTTTTAACCATTATAAGACGTGAGGCCATTAAAACAATCTTATCATATTGTTAATATATGGAGTATTGATGCCAAAGCAAGGGTTATGACGTCATAATGTATATGTAAATATAAAGCTAATTAACATAATTTATGCAGGATGTGAAAGAACTTATTATTACGCTACTTCTGATACCAATAATGCTAAGATTGCTTAAAAACAAAGAAAGTTACAGTCCAAAATGTTTTTATTGCCTAAATTGCTGAAAAGTTCACGGTAACCATGGCAACGAGTTTTTATGTTATTCTACCCAACATGCAGCCTTCAATATCAGTATATCCGAAAAGCTGACATACTCTTGCTTGTATTGGCACTGTATTTACCTACTTTCATCCATTTTTAAGAAGTTAAACTAATAAAACACTGTTATTTTGTTGTAAATATATGGAAAATCGAGGCCAAAAGAAGGGCTTTGACGTCATAATGGATACGCAAATGAGCCAATTAACATAATTTATGCTTGCGGTGAAAGAACTTATTATTGCGCTTCTTCTGATACCAATAATGCTAAGATTGCTTAAAAACAAAGAAAGATACAGTCCAAAAAGTATTTATTGCCTAAATTGCTGAAAAGTTCACAGTAACCATGGAAACGAGATTTTATGATATTCTATCCAACATGCAACCTTCAATATCAGTATATCCAAAAAGCCGACATACTCTTGCGTGTATTGGCAGTGGCACTGTATTTACCTACTTTCATCCACTTTTAAGAAATTTAACTAATAAAACACTGTTATTTTATTGTAAATATATGGAAAATCGAGGCCTAAAGAAGGACTATGACGTCATAATGGATAAGCAAATGAGCCAATTAACATAATTTATGATTGCGGTGAAAGAACTTATTATTACGCTTCTTCTGATACCAATAATGCTAAGATTGCTTAAAAACAAAGAAAGTTACAGGCCAAAACGTTTTATTGCCTAAATTACTGAAAAGTTCACGGTAACCATGGCAACGAGTTTTTATGTTATTCTAACCAACATGCAGCCTTCAATATCAGTATATCTGAAAAGCCGACATACTCTTGCTTGTATTGGCACTACATTTACCTACTTTTATCCATTTTTTAGAAGTGTAACTAATAAAACACTGTTACTTTGTTGTAACTTTATGGAAAATTGAGGCCAAAAGAAGGGTTATGACGTCATAATGGATATGCAAATGAGTGAATTAACATAATTTATGCTTGAGGTGAAAGAACTCATTATTACGCTTCAGCAGATACCAATAATGTGAAGATTTGTTAAAAATCGAGAAAGTTACAGTCTAAAATGTATTTACCACCAAGTAAGAAATTTAAAAAGTGGGCGTGGCTTGTGCGTCCCGTTTCCATAGTGATCGGCCATTTTTCAATTATTATTATTGTCATTTTTGAAATCTACATATTCATATTATGATAGTCAGGTTTGATTCATGCGGTTGCAAGTTATCTTAATTAAGGTCAACAAATAAGGCCTTTTTGCTGGATCTCCCACTCGCCTACTATGTGTTTTACGCCAAAAAAATCTTACACTTTCTCCGGAGAAATCTAATGCGTTCTATACAAACTATTTGAATTGTAACCGTCAATGTGTTATGACGTCATGATTTTACATGGTCCAGTGAATGTAGGAGCAAATTTTTGACCATTTTGATCAACGTTTTACCGAAATATTCATGATTTAAGGTATTTTTACAAGGAATTACGTTACATTATTACAACGTTAATTTGCAGGTTCTTCGCATAGAAAACCGTAGAACGCTGCGTTATGCTAGATTTCTAATACATCTTAATGCTATAGTCAAAAAGACGAGGGGCTACCCTTCAAAATGATATATAATAGGTTATGTAACTCTAATGTACAGCGAAATGGTAAAAGGATGAATATTGAAAATGGCGTAAAATAAGCGATTTTACCCAGGATCTTGCGACGAGTAAAAAAAGAAATTGGATTTTTGGCCTCTAAAATCTAATTGAACATTTTTTGCTTTGAAATTGAGTTTTCTTGATATATTTGTGAAGTTTGCTTGTTCTATGTTAATGATTTTTTTTCTTGATTTCATTGCAATTGAGACTTGAAAATATTCTGAAATCCAATTTATTTTATTTCTCAATTTTTCTAGAATATAGTTTACATTTAAAAAATCATTTCGAATGATAAGATCTTTGACATAAATAATACCACTATCTATCCAAGATTTAAAGAAAAGTGGTTTGCCTTTTAATTGAAATAATCTGTTATTCCATATGGTTTGCTGGACTATTTCATGGTGTTTCAGATTTTTTATTTCATCAAGATCTTTACAGCTATTGAATGCTTTCAAAACTTGTTTGTAGAAAATAGGTAATCCCTCAAGTTGGTCTTTAGAAAATACATTCATTTTTAACAAAATATCCAAACTTGGAGCAAGTTTGTCAAAATAAAAGTATGGAATTTTGTTAAACATATTGTTTTTGTCGTATATACGGGTGATCCATACAGCTTTAAGAGCATTTAGCTGTGATTCTAAATCCAGCATATTTAGACCCCCATTGTCTATATTGTTTATCATAATAGTTCGCCTAATCTTGTCTTTCTTGCCATTCCATAAAAAGTTGAATATCAAGTTGTTTATTCGCTTTATAATTTCTTCTTTAAAAGATAAAATTGATGCTGAGTAGATAAGTTTTGATATAGCTAAAGATTTTATAACAGTGATTTTTCCAAATAAGGTAAGGTGTCTTTTTTTCCAAGAATCAAGAATCTCGCGTGTTGAAAACAAAGTCCATTTTGGCCAAAACGTAACATTTTGGACATTTTTTGAAGCAAGATCACAGAGTTCTGTTTTGACCTCCAGTCAGTTTAACTAGTACCACATATCATTTCGATGGCCAGGATGACAATGTGCATGGTCAGAATGACCAAAAACACGAGGAAATAACTTTTTCAGCCCTCCGAAATTATAACTGAAAATTAGCTAATAGTTCGACCTTCGGAAAGGCCTTTGAACAGAATATTTTGAATTTTTTTAGAAAATGTGCTCAATAGTATTGCACTAAATAATACAATCGTTGTAATTTTAAAAACAATTGTCTGAAACAAAAATGGCAGTCATAAAAAGGAATGTGGATCATATTTTTCTAAAAAATTCAAAAGATTCTGTTCAGTGACCTTTCCCAAGGTCCTACTTTTAGCTATTTTTCAGTCACATTTCAGAGGGCTGAAAAAGTTATTTCATTATGTTTAATTGGGGTCATTCTGACCATGTACATTGTCATGTCTGGTCATGTAAATGATATGTGGTACTTGTTAAATTGACTGGAGGTCAAAAAAGAACTATGTTATCTTGCTTCAAAAATGTCCAAAAACCGGCATGTTTTTTCGCTTCCTGTTTTGTCATTTCCTGTTAAGTACTATAAGACCTTGACAGGGGTAAAATCATAATAGCAATTGTACACATTCAGCGTGTATACAGAGTGGAGGTCGATGCATTCTTTGAAGCAATGAATGAGCTTTATGGATCGAAAGTACAAATAAGTGATATTAGAAAGATTTAGCACAAAAGTTAAAGTACAACATATAACGTACACTTATACTTTGTAAGTAAAATACAAGGTTTTTTACAATGTTGGCTTTTCGTCAGGAAATATCTTCTCGGACTGTAACAAATAAAGGTCAAAGACATACCCTTTTTAGTTTCTTGATTTGTAGCATGTTTATTTGATCCAATTGTGTCTGTCTAGAATAAAATAGCCTCATAAATAGTACATACTTAGGTTATAAACCTATCTCTTCTTAAATCACATTTTGGAGATGCTCGTTATGGAATACACTGATTTCATTTGTTGAGCTACTGAATTTGATGGGTTGTTCCAGGAATTGCTCAAACCTGCTGGCTCGATTAGTGTTTTAAATTGCTAGTTAAAGTATTTAATTGGATACTGTTCCTATTTAGCTAGCCGATTAATTCTAAAAAGTACTCGCGATCCACGCACGTGTGTGTAGTACGTGTACGTTTCACTTATTTGTGCGAAATCGCTTTATTATCTAAATGAAGACACGTCCATCCGTAATTCAGTAATTACATTTGACTTTCAGACACGATCAGATAAATAACATTAGACTATATTCTAATCTACTGTTACGTCATTGTGTTTTCAGATGATATCGATATTGCCGCATCGACAGGTATATATGTTGGCAGAATCCTCCTGGCGTCCCTGAAGAATACTATAAATGGTAATCGAGTCAACTTTTAGGCTCGGAGTTATATCAATGACGATCATATTAATCCTCATAGGCCAAATAGTGCGTCACTTTTGCAATTGGTTTTTATAGCAGAGCGTATCAGAACTGGATAATTAGAGTTAGCTAAGATACATATACGAACTACTGATATGTGATAGCCGTTTGCGACTCGAGGTTCCTACAAACAATGAATTGGTTGCTTAGGTGGCCATTTCGGGAGTAATTAATTTGAAAAATAACATAAATAGGAGCGTGATTTGACTTAGACGAACTGTAAAGGCATCCTCGATGTTTTTGAGAAACATGAAGCTAACCACACGAACAATGTCGGTGATGTCCCTAGTATGTGGTCTAGTGGGAGTCGGAATGTTCACATTGGCCGTTGCGGCGGACTTCTGGCTGTATGTACAGGAACCTTTCGGCGAAGACAAACTCCGAGCTAGTATGACGATGGTCGAACCCTTAGATTACACCGAAACCTACACAGAAGAACCGCTTGAGGAGGAAATGATTGAGTACGATGAAAACATGACAATGCCCGATACCATGCCAATTCTAAAACTTCACGCTAATATGGGCCTTTGGCGATGTTGTATTGAACTAGTCCAACGTGAGTAAGCTTGCATTCTAGCTTGTCCAAAAAGTATCACAATAACTACAATACTCAGGGGCGTAGCCAGTGTCTGAAACGCTAGGCAAATGCGCAGTAGGCTATGCAAATGCAAATAGGCAATATAAATGTAAAATAGGCAATGGAAATGTAAAAAAGGCTATGCAAATGTAAATAGACCCTATGCAAATGCAAAGCAAGGGAAACTAAGCTAAGGCGAAAGGAGGAATATTACTGCCTTTGTACTTCATGTTCACAATTTATATAGCTGCGGAAAATGTCCTAGATACTCGATATAGTATATTTCTGTACATTTTAGTTGGGCACTGGCTACGCCAATATTGGTACTGCACAATCAAAACCAAAAATGTTTTGAGGACACGTTTAAAGCTTATTGTCTGTCACAACAACAAATAACAAGGAGTCAAAAGTGATTGAGTCTCAAGTCCGATAATAATGTGTTATGGTACTTGTATTAAAAGTTACTGCAAAAAATAATAGGGTGTTTACCTAATCGATGGAGCAGTTAATTCACCCCGATTAGTTTCGATGTTTTTATACTAAATTCAGAGTTTTGTTGTAGATGAAGGGCAAATAGGTAGGGTGAAAATTGCATGAACATTTAAATTATATTTTTAAGACGATCAAAATCAAGATTCCATGTGTGCTCAATACATGATGTGTGCTCAACTAAGTTCATTGTGCACTCAATTAGTACACAATGTACACTACTCTAAGTGCACCATCTGTAGTCAATTAATTCATATAGTGTTAACGATTAGTCCACCGAGTAATAAAATGGATAACATGTACAGAATTACTAAATTATATGTATTCACCTAGTTAATTATGTGTACTCAATTAGATAATTATGTGTACTCAATTTGATAATAATGAGTACTCAATAATTACATAATGAGTACTCAATAATATGTCCGCTTGATAAGTACACAATCCGTACACAAATAGATTGAAATAGTACAGCATACGTTGAGGATTAAGTTCTACAGGGTGTCCAAAAGTTGTACCCAAATGAAACGAGAAGTACCCTTTCCCCTTCATTGGAAAAGCTGAACTGTTTCCATTGATAAGAGGATTCATTTTCCGGTAGGCTGTCAATAAAATATGATTCATAGATATTTGTAAATTACTGACTGAGAAATTTGATGTTTCGATGATAGTGAAACATTTTTTTCTCTGAAACTAAATAAAGTCCCCTTGTAAAACGTTCGGGTATGGATGAAAAATTATTTCAAAACTATTTCTTTATCACACACAGAGTTATTTCATGATTTGGACATCAAATATGAAAAATGGGTGATGATTCAAAACAAGCTTTCCTTTAAAATAGTTACCTGGTGAAACTTTCCGTTCATGATAATTACATTGTCTCTCAAATGACTAACTAGTAAAAAATATCCCTGCATCACCCACATTGTTTTTGTATGTTTGTCTCCATTGTCTCGGTACACTCTTTTTGGACACCCTGTAGATTATTTATACCCAATTATCTTGAATACATTATTTGTTCCCAGATTGGCACATGGAATTATGTCATTTTGTATCGTCTTGAATTATGTGACTCTCTCCAATCTTTTTTCAAATTCATTAATTCATTAATTAACGATGCACCTTGGTACATTTTTAATTACAGCGTTAGGGGTCCTAAGGTTTCAATATACTATTTGAAAGGTAGGAATTTCAAAGATATGACCTGCCTTAAAGGAGGTCCATTGGTTACAAGGTCGTCTATTATTAATTAACCATTTTTCATTGAAGGATTGACTTATTGAATGGCAATTATCTAATAACGAATGACATCCTTTTATCAAATGTTCCATTCTGTTGAGGTGAATATATATGTTTATCTTTTCCTCCGATCAGTATATTTCCCACAGCCTCAATGGAAAGGGGAGCACACCGGGGAAATGGTGAACATGTATTCGTCGATAATAACATGGAATATTTGATTTATTATATCATTGAAATCACTTCTCACTTAGTAGATTTACAAATAAAGTGAATTTTTTAACACTGGTCCACAAATAGTTACTTTGACGGAACGTCAATGTAACAAAATGGATGAACTTCCTGGATACGAGTTTCTCGATTTAATTTACGTATAAGTCATAATTGCGGATCATCATTTGGCACAACGTTAGAAAATATAGTCTAGGTTTGGAAATTGATTTTTAGATAAACCTGTTATTCATGCATTTAGACCATCGCTTTTGTTACATGGCCGTAAGTCGCCAAAGTGATGTACATTTGCTAATATAACGGAATTTTGTCAATGTAACAAATGCGAGGGGCTAAATGTATGAATTGCAACTTCATTTACAAAACAAAGTCCAAATCAAAGAAACTTATTAAAACTAGTCAATATTTTATAGCTGTGTGCCAAATCATAATCTGCAACTTTACATAAGTAGGTTTTAATCGAGAAAATAAAAAAAACTCGTAACCAGGAAGTTCATCCATTTTGTTACATTGATGTTCCGTCAAAGTAACTAGTTGTGGAACAGTGTTTAAGCTATTTGATAAATATCTGATTTGAATAATTAAAGTCTTCACGGTTTAAACTTTTACTGTCGTTTTTGAATTCAGGTTATGTTGTCCTTGTATGTTGTAACCAATCCATAAAACCTCGTCAGTGTTCATTGCTTCATGCTTCAAAATATGTTTCACGAGTGCAAACTTTCTGGAATACTTCAATTTTTTTTCATCATCAATATTTACGTAAAATAATCTTTTCTGTATCGTCTGCAATTATGCCAATTTGGGTACACTGCATGAAACACATAGCCGCAGAATATATTCCCGGTGATATGCTGAACATCCGGGATTTTTTCTATGTGGTATTTACTCCGAGATATACAATTGAAAACGAGGCTGCATCTGGAGAATGCAGATGATAGGGGTAATATACCCCTGATTTTATCATATGATCGGTTCTTATCCAATGAGAAAGTGAGAAACATTCCAATGATATAATGAATATCAATATTTACAAAATGTTTTCCACTGTTTATTACTTTCGTACCTGAGAAATTGATATTTGCTGAATGGGATAACAAGATGTTGAGTAGAAAAATAGAGGTTGCAATTTAAGTCAAAAGTTATAATTTTCGGGGATTTTGTCCTTACTTCCTGTTCATTGTGTTACATTCGAAATTCCTGAGTAGAATAATGCATGCTTTCCTGTGAAACAAATTTGCTATGTAGTAAAGGTTTGATCTCGAAATCTGACGTTTTGGTCATACTCTGATAACATCTTAAATTTCACTTGGTTTCTTTAATAGTTTGTCCTTACTGCTACATGCCTGGAACTTGCTCTTCAAAGTCAAAAAACAAAATTATGCAGCCTGATTTAATTTTCATTAGTTTCAAATGAGGCAGAATGTCTTGTAAAAATGCATCAAATCAAAATCTATATTGTAAAGATCAAACTCATTCCACGAATTTTTCGATTTTCACTCAAATTAAGACATTTGGAAGAAATTGTCAAAATTGCCCTTCTATTCGTGTAAGGTCCCAAATCCTCAACTATGTAACTAACTGGCTTCCTTAATGTTGTTTCATCATAACTCCTGTAATATTTCCCCTTTCTAATAGTATATTAAAACCCCGGACACTATTTTGTCCCTCATTTGTTCAGCTCCTGGACATGCCTTATTGTTTATATACATTTTCCCCTGTATCTGGTGTCACATGCTTTGCTCGTATTTTGAGCATTTTTGCTTTTATATTATATCAATCGTGTACATGCGTATTTTCGACAGAATTGTTACATTGCTTTTTATGAATTATCTATATTTTTTATGATTACTAATGATAACTTGCTTCAATTGGAAACACTTTGGCTATTGAAATAGCAGCTCAGAAAACACCGATGGCAGATAAACAAAACTCACTCCAGCCACGACATGAACTTGCGAACCTCTTTAATAGTAACTACTCATCAGAAATACTTACGGGTAGATACATATTATAAATCTTTCGGTAAAACCATTTTGATGTTTGATCACATATCTCAATTTGTCAAATATTAGATTTGGGATCCTAGGTCATATTGTCTTTGTTAGTTGAAAACATTGCTTTCAGCATTCTATACACCCCCGCCATCAGTTTCCAACCAGAGGTTCCCTTCTGGATCGCGATTTGAAAAATATCAGGCCCGTAGCCAGGATTTGCCAAGGGGGTTCACTTTTTGAAAATGTCCAGGGGGTTCACTTTTGACTGTTTTGGTCCAAAAATGAAAGAACTTTTGGCCGGGGGGGGGGGGGGGGTTAGCTCGAACCCATCGAACCCCCTGGCCACGGGCCTGAATATAGCTTTAAGCCGTTATTAAATGAACACTTCCGCTGGGCAAGCTTATACAGGGGGATGTATTATTGTAAAAAGTCGAAACAACATAACTGAATTAGTCAAATGGAATTTGTTTAAGATCACGACAGATTGAAGCGGTGATGAATTATTCAACTACAAATTGACTAATACTTCATCTTTGTTTTATTACTTTTCCATGGGGGAATGTCTAATATAAATATTTTTAAGTCTAGTAGCACACTTGTGTTGATTCGAACCAAGGGATTTCATTTCGGAAATTAGTTAAGTAATGCGTTATAAACGGTTGTTGAATCAATCTTATAGGAGGTTCAACAATATTACCATTCCCCTCCTTGATCCTTTTAGAATGAGAGCTTAGTTTCCTCGTCAATATTTAATGAATCCATTTCGGTAAAAGGTTCATTTTGATGAATTGAGGGCCAAATTGTTGTAGCAGTATTTTCCTAAGAAGTCTATTATCTTGCCCCAGACAGAATTAATTAAATTTGACGAAGACTGTATCGAAAACGTCACGCTTGTTCCTTGAACAGAATGGAGCCGTATCAAATTATAAAAACAGCAAAATGTTCTTTCGGAATATGTATAGCAATGAGTTGCAAATAAAAGTGTGATTGGTTAACCTTGAAAGAAGTACACATGTATTGGTGACGTCATTGTGAGAACATTTTTTCACTAGATACAAATCTAAATGAAATCGGGTTTCTGATTTAACCTGATACACCTGATTTAGACACATATAAGGTTTACATTGGGTATTGTTAATAATTGCAATTGAATTGTGTATTTCGGATATTTGCACCTGTCATATTTTACTACATTTCCCCCTTTCGATTATATTTTTGATTGGGTAAAAGGGAACGAGAGTTCATAAGGACATGTATCTCAAAAATTATAGTAAGAACGCAATTTAAATATAAATTATTTTTAATTATTAATTAACCCTTTCATGTCTGCATGTATCTTTTTCGAAATTAACAACATCGGCATAGATGTTGGCAATTTTGATATCGTTAGCAAAGTATATCATATAGATATCAACTTGCTAATACCAATTATAAATTACTTTCGTGTTTAACGTTACAGACAACCTCTAATTGTTTCCTATTAACCCATTAGTACAATATGTATAAGCTAGCATGTGTTTAACCACAAAAAGGCAACATTTATAGACCAGATCACGGAAATAAAGGGCAGCATTACGAAATTGATCCTATAAGTAATATCAATGTATTATATATATCTATATATGTATAGAATGTGCAGTTTACTATCCAATTCAATATCAGCATTCATCGCTTACTTTACACAGTTTCCCCACTACGTGGCTTATTCAAGTCAGATATTTACATCTTAGCTATTGAGAATAAAGAACGTCCCCTAAACGTATATCGAAATAGATTCGAATTTATTGGATGAATTATATATGATCCAGCTTTCTACGACGTTTAAGACCTCCGAATATATTGATTGTAACGTTTCCATGGTTTCAAAAAACAATCCAATTTCAGTTTAATACTTGATCTTGTAAAAAATGAAACAATTGCAAGAAGTTGAGCTTTGCTTGTCATACCAGAATATTAACGGAGATCTGATTTTATAATCTCTGGCAAATGTGTGACATTTGATAATATTATATCTTGGATATCATCCGAGAAATCCAATATCATTTTTATTAACATAGTCTAGTGCTTTGTTTTCTTCAGCCACAGTCGTCAGTCCAAAAACATGCTCGTATATTCGTTACTTTGGTCAGGTTGCTGGTCGAGTACAAGAGCAAGAAGTTACCATGGCGATAACAAGTAAGTTATAAATAAATGTTTTCGTGCATAAAATGAACAACGTAACCCAAAAATGACATATCATAAGCTAAAGATTACTGATTATTTATTGTAAAAGTTGTTAATCAAGTTGCGAGGTCTCACTAGTTTACTGATGATGTAGTTACCACCTTTGTAACGCCTCACTGATTTTCTTATAAAGTTAACATTATTGTAACGGCTCATGTGGTTGTCAAAGTTGCCATATTTGTATACTTTATGTTGCATATTTGCATTATAGAAGCTATACGACTTGCCACTCCCATATGCGTCGTTGCCTTGATTGTGACAATAGTGGCCTTCTGCACCAGTACTTGGGGTAACGTAAAACAGAATTCCAAAACAGTTATCGGTGCAGTATTATATATTTTAGGAGGTAAGACCATTTTGTGAGATAATACAAGGGGTGGTCAACAAATAACGCAAATAGAGCCCTATCTCAGAAACTAATTGGAGCTAGGACACTAAACTTGATTCATAGTATCACCAAACATTTATCAATAACCCGTGATATGGGTAGCTGAAGCAGGTTTTGAATATTAAGCAATAATAACAATGAGGACTTACCATACGGTAACCCAAGTCATGGGCATCTGAAACACCTCAAATATATGATGTCACAATTTTTATAATAATCATTTTTCAGACTTATAACTCATGACCAGTTCATGTTTAGTGGTGACAGTCCTATCAACCATAACCAGCTCCTCTACTTCTTTTCGAGCACCTGTAAGGGGAGCATCCTCAGTGTAGATCTTGGTTTTTCGGAAATCGTTCTGTACCACCTGTAGATATTGCTTAGTCCATTTTCATTACCAATTGACTTCTTAAGCATCTCGTTTGCAGTGACCGTTCATTCAAAATACAGCATTATATCAGTTCTCTCTGTCTTCTATGGAGGTCTGATAACTGTTTTTCAATTCCACCATTTTTCAGTATGGCTGACTTGACTTTGATTTCCTCAATGCCAGTGTTTTCTGTCATCCTATCGTTGGGTATAGACATGTATGGCCGCCTAATGGTAAAACCTATTGTTGGGTAGGTTTATGACATAACGATTAAAAGTAGATCGCATCCAGATTTTTTTTAGAATTGATTTACACCCAAATAACATCAAAGTCACATTTCCTACGGCGACCGTGCGCTCTGTCATTTCTGCGGTCAGTAACATTTCTACGCTCTCCGTAGAATTTCTGCGGTCGGATACTTTTGTAGTCACATTTCCTACACCAGACGCACGGCGAATTTTGAATTTCTGTTGATAAAAGTTACTGTTTATTTTTAATTTATTTACATTAGTACAATTCATAAATGTTATTTATAGTGCAATGATATTGTATCAAATAGAAAGTGTTGAATGTTACATTGACCATTAGTAACTTAATCTTTTGTAGTATAGGTTGCTATGGTATTACATCAAACAGTATACCTATTGCGTTGTGTTCCACAGCAAAGATATGACGGCAAACCTGACCTAAAGACTGTTTCCAAATGTATATGACGCATCAAAACACTACGGCATGCGCAAGTCAACGTGCGGCCACCGTGGGACTGTTCTGTGGTCTGGCAACGGCCTGTTGATTTTTACTGGGACCGCAGAAATGAACAAATATTATAACTCCGAGTTATGATTTCTAGGCCTTCCCTGCGGCCTGTAAAAACTGGATACGCCGCACGGAGACCGCAGAGCGAGCGTAGTTTTCCCACGCTCGCCGCAGAAATTCACTGATTTAATTGATCTGCGGTTGCCTTACGGAAAATACGAGTTACGACAAATGTGACTGGGGTGTTAACAGTGTCTTTCAAACTCATTTTGGACAGACGTTCAAAATACCTTATTGTTATTGTTATGATTCACGACCTGCTTCAAGTGCCCGTACCACGGGTTGCTATGGCAACCGTAACTTTGACATTAAGTTATTGTAACTCAGATTTTGTGAAAATGATAATGAATGTTTGGTGATACTATGTATCAAATTTGGAGTCCTAGCGCTAAATAATTTTTGAGGGCTCTATTTGCGTTATTTGTTGATCACCCCTCGTACATGCCAAACTTAGTTGTAGTACGTATTGATAATTTGATATGTATTAATTTAAGATGAAACGATGGCATAAAATGCAATAAGTAGAGGGTCCGAGCCTGTACTGCGTGATTCAGTGGCGTATAACGGGTTATATTGAACAAAATAATTTACACTTCAATTACTTCTAATGGATTAGTGTATGATGATACGAGGATATATCCATGAATTCTCAATAAATGAACTTTAATATTTTACATGAAATTGTATATATCCCATGCATGCAATAAAGATCGTTCTTTTCTTGTGGTTTTGGGTGACATTATTACAGTTGAGTTATGGTTACCAGGGTAACATAAACAATGGTACCCTGAGCAGCCCAAGCATCTCCTCATAATCTTCAAAATTTGATTACCAAGTCTTCATCCGATGTTTGTCGTTTTTATTTACCCAATGAGAATCGTACATCAGTCTAATATACTCGGATTATTGCTAACCATACCATCCATTTCATGTGAAATATTTTAAACGGTGTTTTATGAGAATTTGGGGATATTCTACCGTAGCTAATTGTTAGAAAAATATCAAAGATAGTTTCAAAGTGATGTTGTGAAAGCAATAGATAAGGCTGATGTTCGTAGTCTATGCACGTAATATAATTTCGAATTGGTTATTTGGGAATTCATAAATGGATTACATTTCATGTCATGTGCTCGTAAACAATGATGCTGCCATTAGTACAACCTGACTTATATTACAAAAGAGCTATTTGCAAAATGGATATTTATTATATAGTATATTACAAATATTGTCGTGGAGTGAAATACGCACTGTCGAGAAACTCAAGCATTGAATTGAAATACGTACGTGAATCTGTTTTCGTAACAAGATGGCGCTTTTCCTCAGCATTCCCTATGCTTCTAGAGGGAAGCTAATAGAGGGTCATGATTTCTTATGATGTCATTTCCTCGGGATTGAAATCCCCCCCCCCCCCATTATATTCTTCCCATGTTTTGTTTGTGTGTTAATCATTTCCGCGCAGAAGCAAAAAAGCAGATCGCTTTACAAATGATGAACTACACTCCCCTCCATAAGTTTGGCAACATTTTTTCTCCATTGAACTACGTGTTAAAGCCTCTTTACGTTTGAATTTTTATTTACTTAACCGGCGATGAAATAACTTATGATATTGATGGAAACGTAACTTGACTTTATTTCCAATACCTCCAAATTTTCTCATTTTTTTTCCTCAATTACAATAGGTCAAAAATTGATGATAAATTTGATGAATTTTTGAAAATCGTCATTCTCATGTAATCCAATGGGAAATGGAGGGTTCAGGGCAAATCAGAAATCAGGATATCTTTTCAGTAAAAGATTCAGCAAAAAATATTTTCATATAGAAAATTGAATTGTCTAACTTTTTGAACACTAAGTGTTTAGTTTATTTGATGAATATTAAAGTTACAGCGCTTCAAAGTCATTTTTGAAAATTATTTTTCGCCTCCTGTGTTATTTCAATGGGAGAGGTTTTTTGAAAAACAATTTTGACTTTAAAGCCCTATAACTTTGTTGAACCTGAAGAAACATATCAATTTTTTGTTAAATAAAGTTAGCAAATTCAATTACCTGCCTAACTCGTATTTTTTGCAAGGACTCGGATGGATGGATATTCTGTCATATGACTTGCGGCAAACCTACCATTTCCCATTGGTTAAAATGGGAATGTCGATTTTCAAAAATTCATCAAATTCATCATCAATTTTCTACCTATTGCAATTGAGGAAAAAAATTGAGAAAATTTGGAGGTATTGGAATTAAAGTCAAATTACGTTTCCATCAATAGTATAAGTATTTTCATCGCAGGTTAAGTAAATAAAAATTCAAAGGTAAAGAGGCTTTAACACGTAGTTCAATGAGAGAAAAAGGTTGCCAAACTTATGGAGGGGAGTGTATACTCCCTCCTATTAGTTTCGCATTCAATCGGAATTATTTGTACTTTTGAATTAATTTTGTTAGAGAGAATCAGATCTAGCAGGCAGGCATACAAAAAATTGTTTCAATTTTAGAATATTTCTGACTCATGTCATTCCCACACCCGGTGATCGTGAAAATGGGACGGAGGGGGGGAGCAGGCAATTTCCGCTAGAAAATTCAACAAATCTGGTAAAATTATTTTTTCAAGACAGAGTTTACGATTGAATTGCAAATTGAATAAGCGCACGGTATGATAAAATATGTTAGGTATTCTAGGATTATTTTTCAACCGATACTCTTTTAAGATATAAGATCTATTAAAAAAGGCGCAACGCAACCAACGTGCAAAAGTCAAAGTTTTTGCTATAAATCAAGCAACAATGGACTACACGACCTGTAATAAATACTTGTAAGTGATGTTATCATAACTAAATTAATGTCATTGCTGAATTTATAAAATAAGTTTCCATACGTAAAATAAAAAATAATCGAAAATAATTAAAATGGGACGGAGGGGGGGAGGGGACGGAGGGGGGGAGTAATAATTCTATAAAGTGAAACAACTTCACACAAATTCTTGTATTTGGAAATTTAACTCATTAACTTAGTAAGAAACTGGATGATATACCCCTGGAGACTGAAAAATGGGGACATTTGGAGTAAAAGGACTTAAAGTCGCGAAACATCTCTAATCATGTCTTATATACATATTGCTCCCCCCCTCCGTCCCCTCCCCCCCTCCGTCCCAAATTCATTATTTTCGATTATTTTTTATTTCACATATGGAAACTTATTTTATAAATTCAGCAATGACATTAATTTAGTTATGATAACATCACTTACAAGTATTTATTACAGGTCATCCAGACCATTGTTGCTTGATTTATAGCAAAAACGTTGATTTGTGCCTGTTGATGGCCTTGCGCCTTTTTTAATAGATCTCATACCTTAAATGCGTATCGTTTCAGAAAAAATCCCAGAAAACCTAACATATTCTACCATACCGTGTGCCTATCCATTTAGCAATTCAATAGTAAACTTGTTCTTGAAAAAATAAATCTTCCAGATTTGTTGAATTTCCTTGCAGAAATTGCCTGCTCCCCCCCTCCGTCCCATATTCACGATCACCGGGTGTGATTCCTTGTCATGTCTATTTTCCCAAATCCCCAAAATGCACACTTTATTTCAAGAAAACTAAAGATTTTTACTATAATTGTTCACCCACTTTTGGACTTTAAATCCATGATAACTTCACCAATTTATAACATATCGTGAATCTTTTGTGAGATATTGTATTTGAGATTGTAAGGAATAGATTGGTAGGTCAATTGTACATGTGGCTTTTAACTTTGTCACCCCTATAGATCTGATTCTGCTTTTAATACAATATTTCGGAAAGATGAAAAGAATGATCAATTTATAGCAAATGAAAACAAACTACCAAATGCTCAACACTCGTATTTGCATGGTATTTGCTGAAAGACTACATGTGAAATCCCAATGGATTCATTGAGCGTAGGGAGTTAATTAAACTTGTTTTTCCTTAATTCCAGGGCTTATTCTTGCAGCCTCGAACATCGTTTACATATCTTCCATTAACGACGAGGTCGCCCATCTAAAGAAACCAGCAAATGGCGAACACCACCAACACAAGTTCGTGAACTACCAATATGGCTGGTGCTTTTATTTTGCGGGAGGTTCATTCGTTTGTGCAGAGCTAGCCGCCGTTATAAACCTTACAATGTACCTTAAACGGTATCCTACTTTCGAGGATAAAACACACATAATTCCCGGAATAGACAGAGATGTTGATTATCGAGTAGAAATTGAAAAGCGCGATGATGGGGCTTATCATGCCGCGGAGGGACATGAAACTGACACAGGACTACTTTCATCCGGGTCTTCAGCCAATGTTCGCCAAGACACTGTAATTTTGTGATTTGCTAATTGCGTCATTTACGACAAAATGTTTCTTATTAAGGCTAGATTACTTGTAGTAGACAACACATACTTTTTACAGATTAAAAATAAAATATTTGCATGTTATTATGAATTTTATTAAATGGTACATATTTCATATTTACACTGCAATGACATAATCATACGTATACGTCATAAGTCACAAACGACTCGTCCAATACTCGATGGTCAAGGGTTTCAAATTTTCACGTGTGACATTGAAATACTGATAATCTGAATATTTAGAAAGTTTAATATGATACACTGCACATCAATATAAAATATAAAAAGTGAAGCTGAAATAAAATGCAAGGCCAGGTGAAATAATTAATTGAACAAATCTCGGACGAAAAATATTTATGGATTAGCTTGATTGTGCAAAAACTAAATGGTTTTGCAAAAATGAATTTGATTCAATAACAACCACTTTAGGACCACTTTACCCTGCTATGATTCTCAGTAGGCTAAATTCACTGTTCCCCAACTAGTTACGAGAAAAAATGGAGGTACGTGCTTGTACTGTACAAGTTCGAGTTCGGTAACATAACTAGTTGGGGAACGGTGATTGTAGTTAATTGTTATCACTTTCTATTACACAATTAACACTCTAAATGTTTTACAACGCCAACACCCGTTCAATAACTTGTTCAAAGCCTGCTTTTCATTAAAGTATCAGAGGCGTGAATCTCTTTCAAATAACTCGTAATTAAGATTGCAAAAACTGAAATATGTGTTTAAAGAAACTGAAATAAAAACCCAAAATATATTTTAATTGATAATACCATGAATAAATTTATAGTGGATGCAACATTTGTGTAGGAACAGAAGTGTGCAAATACACAAAATAACTAAGAACACCGACTTAAGAAATAAAGAATCGAATAAATAGCACTTGTTATACCTATGTATGTTTAACAGAACACAATCTGCGTAGTAACAGAAACCTGGTTTAGTACTCCCATCTATATATGGATATACAATTTTAATAAACTAACTACAATATATCGTATAATGCTAACTGTAATGTACTCTAACGAGCTGCAGTGTACTGTATAGAGTAATACTGGTCATGGATTGCACGGGGGATTGCACTACATGCAAAGGTTAAAGATCACCTGTCATCAGGTGTTACCAAGTCAAGGTTTTGAAATCATCCGTACTATTTTATGATTGTCTGTCGACAGAGATGTTGATCTCAGTTTTGAAGACATTGTGCTTTTAGTGAAGTCAGTCTCTTTAGGATCGGTAGTGTTGACCTTCAAATAGGAGAACTTATCAACCAGTAGTTTGTAGACCTTGGTATTGCATATGAATGCGATGCAGATAAAGAGGCCTTGTAGAGTATTGAAGATGATGAACACATACCAAAGAGGCTCGACATTACCGATAGCTGCAATAAAGCCGAACAACCAAGTCATACCCATGATGAACGAGAGCTTAACATACAATCCGAATCTTTGCTTTTCTTTCTTCTTTTGCACTAGTTTTGCTGTTTGCCCAACTAAGTATATTGATCTGACGGTTAGGCCGAAGAAAACTAGATTTCCGAGTAGAATAACGCCAATTGGAACTGCAAACAATGTAATGAGAGCCATGCGCTTGTTGATCCAGCAAATTGGTACTCCATAGCGAGGATTAAACTGGGATTCAGCATCCGTGAAGTTCAAACCAAGAGAAATAGCAATCACAACCAACGGGGCCAACCAGGCATAAATGGAATAAAAGGCAAAACGTTTGTTGCCCGTACCGGAAGGCGGAAGTCCTTGGCGGGAAAAGGTCCGCCATATATCATACGCCATGACATTCATCCAAAAGAACGCAGCGAGGAAGCTGTAGTGAATCAAAGCTGCGAAGAAAACACACAACTCATAAATTTCATAACGTGGTACACCCACAAGAAAGAATAGCTGCGCAACGAAAAGCGCACTAACCAAGCTAAGCAGGTTCTTTCCCGGGAGATTTCTAAGTGTCGGGAGCAGCATATAGATGGTGAAATGAATCGCTAGAGCTATGAGTGATATGATAGTTCCTACTAATGATACCAACGCTTGAATAAATGAAAACTGAAGTGTCTGATCATGATCTGAAGATACAGACATCGCATATGTATAGTTCTGGCTGTAGTTCGAACAAACGAATATACCACCATCTTTCCCCAAAATGTACTCGTTTTCTTCGTAAATAGCACTATCTACAACAGAACGTGCACTGTCATTGGCAAAAATCACTACCTCAGAACTGTTGAGAAATATCAAAGGACATTCCAGTGTAATGTTCGGCCTTGCTACTCGATTTTTCGGATCACTTAAGCATGATCCGTATTCATTGCTATATATGTAACCATCCATACAATAAACAGTACGACATCTACCAATGAATGGATCGAAAACTTCACTTTTGGGGCAAGTTTTGATTCTGGTTTCCGTCTCATTGCTTGATATCTCATGGTTCGCATCATCACTGACAGCGTAACTGCGCACGGAACCACTTCCGGCATTTACATCTAAAAGGATTGAAAATGGGAAAATCTGCAAATGTTTCCATTTTACAAATTCTGTATCGAATTTATTAACAGTATCTAAACAGTGAAGCTTTGCTGGGTTTTCTCTATTGCAATACGCGCAATAACTGTTCTTATAAATTCTCTTGCTGTCTGCATACGAAAAAGAAGTTCCATAATCACGACATTGATTTATGAAAAGCTCGTTTGAATATGTAGGAGAACACGTTGAAATATGAGGTTTACAAAGGCGGTAATTGATAGTAGGGTGGTTGAACCTGACCCGGCACATTCCACTTTCAAGAGAATCATCAATCGTCTTTTGTATATCCAAATCACGGCTGTTGCTATAATCTGGTCCCGATGTATTGCATTGTATATCGGATAACCAGAAAGTTGGATTTTTCTCACCATTACAGACGCTACAAAACACATTGCGATAAAGAAATCCAGATTGAGGTCCTGAGACAGGCCATCGCATAAATATATCTCTTTCGCTTTCATCGGCAGCTACTTCACAACCTTGTCGAATCCTATCATCGTTCCAATGAGACGGGCACTTATTAACGGTAACAATGGGTTTCTTTACAATTTCTCTCACGATTGAACATTCAAATATTTCACTCGAAATATTTGTGAACCTCCCTGTAATTTTTGGAGCGAAGTCCCTGCAGCAATCTCCGAAGAGTTCACAGTAATCATCGCAGAAACAGTTTCTATGTACGTAGTATCCGTAATCTGTATACTCGTTGTTGAAACGTTCATAATCACAAGTGTTCTGCGGGGCACATTCCTCTTCGCGACTGGCGCCCTCTTCAGCTCGTTCAGGTGCGCGTGCGCGTTCTGGTTCACGCTCACGAGAACGTTCAGGTTCTCTTTCGCGTGGACGTTCCGATTCACGCTCACGTGGGCGTTCTGGTTCTCTCTCACGTGGGCGTTCTGGTTCTCTTTCACTTGGGCGTTCGGGTTCTCTTTCGCGTGGACGCTCTGGTTCTCTTTCACGTGGGCGTTCTGGTTCTCTTTCGCGTGGGCGTTCGGGTTCTCTTTCGCGTGGACGCTCTGGTTCTCTCTCACGTGGGCGTTCGGGTTCTGTTTCACGTGGACGCTCTTGTTCTCTTTCGCGTGGGCGTTCGGGTTCTCTTTCGCGTGGACGCTCTGGTTCTCTCTCACGTGGGCGTTCGGGTTCTGTTTCACGTGGACGCTCTTGTTCTCTTTCGCGTGGGCGTTCGGGTTCTCTCTCGCGCGGTCGTTCTGGTTCTCTCTCGCGTGGGCGTTCTTGTTCGGGCTCCTGTCTACGTTCTGGTTCAAGTTGTCGTAAACTATCTGATGTTCTTCCATTTGAATGTTGCAAATCTTGTCCACGTGAACGTATTGGTTCTATTCCTCGTGGGCTTTCCGTTTGCCTCCTCGGACGTATACGATTTCTCCTATGTGGACTTTCTCTAAAAACCTCTCCTTCCTTCCCCTGTTTTCTTTTATGATTTCCCAGATGTCGATGCTTTCCGTTTATTCGTCCACGCTGTCTCTCTGAAGACCCCCTTTGTCTATTTACCCGACCGCGTCCATTATGATTCGTTAATACGGAATCTTGTTGGCGCTTAAATCTCGTGGCTTCTATAGAATCCTTCGATATTGCTCTTCCTCTGTTGTCTTTGCGTGATGGCGATTCAGTGTCATTTGTATCTCCACCGATTTGGATTTGGACTCGCAATCTTATATTTTCCAAATCTCGAACATAAATCTCATGCTTTTTATTGTCTTGGTTTTCTCCGAAAGATATTGTTACATTGTTAAGTAAAATTGCTGTAAGCACACATATATAAAACGACATAATTTTGTTGTTCATAGCCATTGTACACACTATCACCATCTGGAATTATCTCGAGTGTGTTTTTTTATATTGATAACTGTAAAGTACACAGTAGTTCTTCCGTCGCCAGAAAAGTATCTGGTCAAACAGTTTATCGATACATAATAGACTGATTGTAATACGATTGACAATAAAATCGTTTTTAAACACTTTTGATTGCTTTGATGGCTGTAATTGTTCGGCTAATAATTTGAAGGATGTGGTGTATCAATCCTTTCGCAATATCGGACGATTTATCAAAATGTTCTGATTCACAAAATTGTTTGCACAATCAAATTACCATCGAGTGTAAATCCACAATAGGCAATAACATATCCTACGTGTAGTTTTCCACTTCACGTTTGACACTAAAGGTAGTATAATTACTTGTCTATTGGTTCTTTTGTGGAAGTTTGTGAATCATGTTTTTTATCTCCAGTTGTTGTTTTCGTCGTGGCGATCCATATTCCTTATGGACAATATGATCCGTTGCTCTTCTCAAGGTGACCGGCGTTTAGAATATCTCAATGTATTTAGGAAGTTAAAATGCCGTAATGTCTGCCATAAGCATAAACAATCAATTAGCAGCTGTTGAGTATATCAGTTTAATAACCAGCGTTAATCAGTTTGTTTATGACCATCTCCATCAAAGATTTAGTCGTTCTTTATTTTCGTCCAGTGTAAAATAAAATCAAGCCAAGCATGTCAAGCTGATGTTCTCAAAGTCATCACCATATGTCTTATCCCACGAGTGTTGTAGAACTGCCACCTCATTTCAGTTTTAAAGAACTTTTGAAGGTAGGCCCGTCCGTATTTAGTATTCTAAACATCCGTATCTTCTATGCTGGAGTATGAGATATGAATTCAAAGAGAATTTCTTATTCAATTCGAAAATTAATTTCCTAGCGTCTTTGAAGCTATTCGAGGATTGTATACAATATTTGGAGAATTGTTATCCTATCTCCGACGTATATTTATCTATTTCAATGTTATCCATTTGATGATATTAACCATACTTCCTTTCGAGGATCTCACCTCCATGACAGAGCTCGAGTTGATTGCGGTGCTTTGAGTAATGTTATCAGTTAATAACAGATCTGAGAATGCCTTAGTTGTGTATTCTTAAAACGCTGATAACTTATAGTAATTATGACTATTGCAGCTAAAGTTCAAGTGTCTGAAGTGGAAAGTACACGCAAGAAACCCACATGGCAAATTAGGGCGACCCTTGCTAATATAAAACGTCTGGTCTTTATTTCAACAAGTGAAAATGAGATGGTTACGTGTTACAACTACATGTTATTGTAGCTAGGTTTGTGTTCGACAGGCATTGTGTTAATATTTATATACATCATGCTTTAAGTTTTAGATATGGCAAAAACCAAAGATACCAAAATAAATTGCTCAAAGAAAACTCATCACGATACCCGAAATATTTTAAGTACGGGAAACAACTTTTTGCTTCATGAATAGTAGTATTCAATCATCATGCTGATATAAGTGCGCGTTTTGCCACGAAAAAAATCATTATTGGCAAGATTTTCATGTTTATGATGTTACAGTCACAACAAAACAAACTCATGTAGTTCAATCTATTGATTGTAAAGATGTCACTGCACAAAACTAAATTATATTCACGTGCTTGCCCAATACTTCAATTGACCGCATGGACACAAATTTGAAATTTACAATTGTATCACAAGTCTTTTAAAAACAAAATTCCAAATTCACAGTTTAGACGGTTGAAATATGATTACACTGTACATGATGTATAATTTGGATTAACAAGTTTAATTGATGTTTGATGTGCTAAGTGAGATGAGAAAATAATCCGAAAAAGATTCGAAAAAGTCGCAGCAGTGATTTGTGGGGTCACTATGGTTACTGATTTCTAGTTTTTTCAATGTTCCATATATTTTATCCACATTTTACACACATCTTTGGTACATATAGGGCATCAAACCCTGAACGTATGAAAGTGTATGGTTTCCATTATCAAAAGACGACCCACCGTTTCTTTGGACCGGAGGGTATTTGTTTTGGATAACTTTTGCAGCCTCAGATTGATCGATCATACTGTTTTGCATGTTAAGACATTATCTCGTTTAAAGTCCCCGTCTAAAGTTTGAAAATATTTTTTTATCATTCATTTACTATTTGTCAGGACTTAAAAGTGATTTTAGAGATTTTTGAACAAAAAAAAATTTTTGAAAAAAAAGTTGTGAGCATTTTATTTCTCTAATATTCAAATTTCCCGCCATTTTTCAAAAAAAGTTGAAATTTCTTAATCATCAAATATTTCTTAATGCATTTCAAAAAAGATTATCTTTTTAACACCAATGCAAAGATTGAACAAAAGACACACAATTTCAATAATAAAATGTCATGTTTAATGGGCCACTTCAATGTTTTAGCTTATCAAAAATATTTTGAAACATTAGTGATGTCACTAAGGTAACAAAAACTTTTTGAAAAAAATTGAATTTTTTTTTTCGATGTCAATCTTTTCTAAATATGCTAGACTTTCATAAAAAAAACAATGTTGATTGTCTAACCAGGTTAAAAGGAAGAATAAATTATGTTTTAGATATCATTGTACCATTGGTTTCTATGAGAACTAAAATTTTGAAATGCATTTTTCTCAGAACCATTTTCATGCACTGATAAGTTCATTTCTCGCTTGTTTATCAACCGATTTTCTTAATTTTTTCGGCAAAAAACATGGGAGGATGAATGCTATGCATTGGTATGAATTGTGGCTTATTAGAAGATATGAGTGACCTCTAAAAGTTGGTTTCAAATAAATTCACAAATTTTGGAACAAAAAGTCTATCAAAAACCACTTTTTGATATTAAAAAAAAAAGTTTCACATATCACACTTTGATAACATTGGGTAAGACTACAATATAAGCCAAAGTGGTTTAAACTTTACATGGGGCCTTTAATGATATAATTTTTGAGTTGTTATTAATTTGAGGCTAAATATTTTTAATGTTGGGCTTAAAGACTGGGCTTATTAGGTTCCCATTGAATTTCAACTTGGCTGTTGAGCTCTGTATTTTTGTGTTCTTGTTCTTCCACAATCATTGCTGGACTGTTGGCTCCTATATATCCATTGGACTGCCGACCACTTCAAGATTTGCCAGATCATCTTGGTTTTTCAGCTCGATATCTGGCTGTTTACTCCCGAAAAGCTTAGTGTCTCATGTTTTGTCTAATGTATCACGAAGCCTCCGTGTTTTCTATATATTAAACAGAATTTAGAAAGATGTCGCACTATGACATGAACAAAACCGTTTAAACTATGTCATTTGTAGAATTAAACAACATTGCAATAGGTGTTTAATAATTTAATTAGTCTAAAGAAAAATAATTGAAACTTCACAAATGTCCCCCTATCCCTCTATATAACTGTATTGAAGTTACCATAGCAACCATAACTTGAGAAATGTTCCTTACCGGCGTCCAATTTCTATAACTATAAGGAAATGAATGACCCAGTAACACTCTGTAAATATTATGGGAAACAGTTATAAGTTTTAAATAAGAGCACTTTTTACAGAACTTCTGGATAGACCCTCGTATACGTATACAATAATAGACTGATGCGAAACAATATGAACTTTGCCTCATCTGATTGGCGAGAAATTCAAATATAAGTTTATATGATGAAAAACGTTTTTCAAAGTCACATTTGAAATGTACCAACTAGTTTTTCCACTGAAAAGTAATACTTGAATGGTAAAACTCTTTTACTTGCCTTTGGGTGTTATTGTTTATTGCATCATTATTTATTGGACATAAAAAGCTTAAGTGTATGTCCTACTACATAAAACCCGTACATAGAATGCACGTAAAATTCCCACGACATTTTTATCACAATTTTGCATAAGATGGAAGAAATAAAAGGAATAAATGATTTCTTTTAGATAATGTGGAAAACAATATTTCCCATGTTATTTTCCCATAGGGAAAAATCATTGCATATACAGCTAAGTTTGGTCACCCATAATGTGTATCTTTAGAACCCCTGAAGGAATCACTTATTCCTTTAAAGTGGCTAACTATGTGTCAAAACGCAACATAATGATGCAAGAAAAAATAAAAAAGCAGGGTTGGAAGGGTCGAAAATTAGGAAAACATTTCAGAAAAAATATGTTGGTGGGTCGTTTGCATCTAACCTGTCTCAAAGTCGAACTTATTTTATCATCTCTAGAAGTGATTTTCCTGGATGTAACGCATTTGCTATAACATATGCAATTGTTTAAATCCCCAGAAAATGGCCAAAATTCAACATATGACTGTCCAAAATCTGTTGCGCTAATTTCCCTCCTCCTTTCGATTGAAAACCTCTTCACAGATCAGCCAAAAAGAAACTCAATGCAAAATTCTTTTCTTTAAAAAGTGTGCTTATGTTACACAAAAATGGATCAAATACACTGATTTTTTTCTCAAATTTGGAACACGATTATACTCCCTCGTGCCATTTTCGGGGCTGAAATATGGTTTCTTTCTCCTGCTATTGAGGAAACCCTACCCAGAGGAAAAGTTTCAAAACTGCACAAGGGCTCACAAGTCCTCAAATGTAGTCCCGGCGACCTTGGGAGCTATGTCAAAATGTAATTCTATTACGATAATAAAATTGAATTTCTGACTAGCCTCGTACATTGTTCATTCAGTTGACCATTTAGGCTTTATTAGCGATATCATGAGTATTGTCGCAGAGCACCACGTTTTCAAAGAATACGTTGACGGCTTTGTAAAATGCGGTCAAATCATTCAAAAGAGGCTTTTCAAAAATATTGTAAAATGCCAAATACTTCTAAAAGAAGAAGAGTCGTAGAAACATCGAGTCCAAGCAAACTCAAACCTTGTTATATTTATAACAGATTCATCAAAATATTAAACGTTTCCAATGGCAAATAGGTCTTAAGTTTCCAAAATACACGTGGTCACTTGGTAACCTCATTAACCTGGCCACATATCCGAGTTATAAAATATATCGCCGTAACAGTTGCCACAGGTTATGTGAACGTAGCATTGTGCATTATTTGCAGTATGAGTTTTTTCAATGCATAGGAACATATTCTTTGAAAAACTCATCGACCATCTACCTATAAGTGTGGGTGTAAACCCACTGATGAAAAAATAAATCAAACACTTCTAGACAGTAGGTCAAATGGATAAACGCAAGGAGCACACGCCGCATCTCGAACTCGCAACCTCGTGGTTACGGCCCCAATCGCCAGAGGAAGCACCCTACCCCTTTTTCCCTTTGGTACAAGTGCTTATATATTTCTAAATATATACACGTTGCTCGACTGTCCTTAAGAACCCAGAGCGGGTTAATACCTGTTCATACCTGTTCATGGGTGATTTGATGTTTGAGCAATTCATAAGAATGTGTAGCGTAAGTCTGTTTGACATTAAAGGTTTCTTTAGAGGTCTGTTTCACAAGATTCCACGAGTCCCGGGGAGTATACTTGAATATACCTTCACCCTAAACCATGTAAACGGAACATCTGAAGATCATACTTCTGTAACTAACGTTAAATCTATTTTTTATACTTTAACATTTGTAAATTATGTAATTAAATTTGATGTACCTTTTATGGTCTCCCTAACACGGGGGACATAAAGAAACATAAACATGTTGATGCTAATATTCTGTTCTACATTCATCGAGTTCATCATGCCGTTGTGCATCAGCTATAAACAGATCGGTGATTCTAGAACTTTTCAGTTGTAGGTTGCGCGCTCTCGCTATGGGGACCTGCTGATGGAATTTTGTTTAGCTGATGCGCACGTGTTTATCATGTCATGGATAGTGAAGCTACAATTCAAGGAACTTTAAGATACATGTAGGGAGGATTGATTGATTTTCAAAGCATTGTTTCAGGTAAGAATTCGATCTTATACTAGCTGTAAATCATCTCCGTCTTCGAGTGTTGTTCAATTCTATTAAGTAATGTTATTTTCATGCTCAATTCCCAAGTGCTGTGCTGTGAGTTTTTGCGTGTGTTCAGTCGTGCAGGCTACACGCCTCCTATGAGTGACGTCTTGCGGACTATAACTTCTACAGAGTTATTCAGTCGTGTAAAAAGCTCTTTCTGGATTTCTACTTGAGTAGGCAGCCTCAGTAGAGTCTTTGCTTGCGGACTATAAAGTCTCTACAGGCAGCAGATTTTCAAGATATAGGGGTGTTATCGGGAGCAAGTACAGAGAGCTGTACACAGTCGACAATAAGCCCTTTAAGCCTAGGCTAATTCCATTTATAGATGGTAGTCATATGATAAAAATTCAGGAAATGATAACATGGAAGGTATGGGGATTCTCTAGATTTTTCACCCTTTTCTTTGATTCTTTGAAAAAATTATTTTTATTTTAAAAAGTTCTTGGGCCATAGGTCATGATGAGATTGTTATCTATTTAAAGACATCAAAGATATATCTTTACCAACTGTTATATAACTGGAAAATGACTAATTACCTAAATGCGAGTAGGTAGTTACCAGTTTCACCACCAGGTGGCTGATTCGGGTCAATTAACATGGCAGGTATATAAGAAAGTTCCCTTAAACTTGAATATTATCAATTTAAGTGGCTCAATTTTCATATAACCCTTATGTGTCTGATACTTATACTAATGAAAATATATCCAGTAAAGCAAAATATTATCTGTCCGCTAAAAGAAAAGATATTTCATTTTTTGTGATTTTATAGCATGGGGTCTATGGGGAATCTCCCCGAGCTAGAAGTCACATTTTCAAAGAAAATTAATTTTTCAAAGTTAATAAACACTTTTTAAAACCACATTTCTAGATGTAATTTTACATGTAGATTTCAAATATGATATTACTTTGACTGAATTTTGAATTTTTAATGACGTAAATCAAGATTATTTCTACTCGCATCTGGGTTATTGGTCAAGGGTCACTACAGGGTCATACATAACATGTGAATTAGTTAATCTACTTTCTTCTTAGTATTTCTTCTGAAAGTACAAGATATCTAACATCTATAATTACATTTTGTAGTATTCGTTAATAAAAATGTCTGGAGAAAAAACTTAAGAAAAATTTTCAATGATGTCAAATATAAGTGTAACATTGGCACATTGGATCAGTTTCTGCGTCTGCGAATAAATTATTTGGGATTAGTTCTAAAACTATGTCTGAATGTAAACTCTCAAATCCTGCATCAAATATCTGAATGATCTCTAACTATCTATTAGTTAACTTAACCTTTTATCCTGTATCAGTATGTGGACAATAGTAAACATTGTAATTCAAGCTGCACTTAAAACAAGCAGTATCTTACTGGTGGCTATATAAACTTATTGACCCCAGGTAATTTTGGTGATCTTAGCTGACCAACATCAAACCAAATATTTTAAACAAAATAGCCAATATTCATCTTTATTTTCCATCATTATGTTGTTTTAAAAGACTAAAAAACTTCATACCAATGATATATAAGATCTTACCTAAAGATCTGTTGATTTTCTGAATGAATGAGGAAACAGAAATAGTAGCATTATGATGTTAAAAGCATAGTATAAATGTGATGTTTTACATGTTGGTTCAATGGGGAACTGCTTTAGGCCTAAGATTCTTTTCCTGAAAATGGGCTAGACATCTATTGGCTGTTTATAGAGTATTTTCAACTATTTAGCTAGGCTAAACTCCTGTATTGACCTTTAATAGAGACAGTGCAGAAAATAGTCCGGCAGATGATCAGCGCAGAGCAGTGGAGCTTGTCATCTCGTATACAACTCAAGATTTCAAGAACAAAGTCAAGAATTTGACTTAGACTATGGAGCCTTGGCAGAACTAATTAGTTCAGATTAATAGTGGCCGTTTTGATCACCCTAAAGAGACAGAGTCAGAGGGATTACAGCTGGCTACAATTTTAAGTCTTCAGACAAGAGCTGAATTGTGTGCGACTTTGTTATTTTACAACATCGTGGATTTTTGAGTCTCGCTAGTGTGACTTTAATTATTCTAAGGCATAAGACTATTTCATTTATTCAATCCATTTATTAGTGATCATTGTCACAGACTTTATTACAATTTTTTTTGTTTTAGACGTTTCGAATGCAAACTGCATCCATGATCATCACTAAATTTAAATTGAAAACAGTTGAATGGGCAACTTCAATCTAGATCGCTTGTGGGATGAAGTTATATTCCAATGGCAATTAATTATTTTTTGACGTTGTTAAGTTTTAATGACGAATTGGTAGATGTATCTGTATACAATTTAGATTTAGTGATCATGGATGCAGTTTGGATTCGAAATGTCTAAAACAAAAATTGTAATAAAGTCTGTGACAACGAACACTAATAAATGGATTTAATATATCCATCCATCCGAATCCTTGCAAAATACGAGTTAGGCAGGCAATTGAATTTGCTAACTTTATTTAACAAAAAAAATAATATGTTTCTTCAGGTTCAACAAAGTTATAGGGCTTTAAAGTCAAAATTGTTTTTCAAAAAACCCTCCCATTTTTATAACACAGGAGGTGAAAAATTATTGTCAAAAATGACTTTGAAGCGCTGTAACTCTAGTATTCATCAAATAAACTAAACACTAAGTGTATAAAAAAGTTAGACAATATAATTTTCTATATAAAAATATTTTTTGCTGAATCTTTTACTGAAAAGATATCCTAGCTTATTTCTGATTTGCCCCGAACCCTCCATTTCCCATTGGATTACATTGGAATGACGATTTTCAAAAAATCATCAAATTTATCATAAATTTTCGACTTATTTTAATTGAGGAAAAAATTGAGAAGATTTGGAGGTATTGGAAATAAAGTCAAGTTACGTTTCCATCAATATTGTAAATTATTTCATCGCCGGTTAAGTAGATAAAAATTCAAACACGTCGTTCAATGGGAGAGCTAAGGTTGCCAAACTTATGGAGGGGAGTGTATTTCGTGATATACATACATACATATAGGTCACAGTCAAGTATAAAGTTGTTATCTATCATATGCGCCTTTAATAAAAACAGCCCCGTCACTGGTCAATATCAAGCGAGGGTAACGGCCGTTACCTTCGCATTTAAGATGGCGGGTAGTAAGTTTCGATTTCGATATGTCTTAGTTCTCATCGAATTAAACTACTTTATAGTTGAGGTAGTGCTTTGGTTTTCGAATCAAATCAGGCTTGACATAATGGCTCTGGAGAATGATAATTTGTTCGTATATCATGCGTAGGCGCCATAGTTCAACGATATCTTCCACCGCTTAGGGGAAGGTAACTGGGATTTCGGTTATCGTATCATACATTTCCAGTTACCTTCCCTTTGGGAAGATATCGTTGATATCGTTCCCTGTGACAGATATCGTTGAACTGTGGCGCCGACGCACGACATATGAACAAATTATCATACCCCAGCGTTTTCATGTCACATAAGCCTTATTTAATTAAATATGAAAGCATTACGTCAACTATTATGTAGTTTAATTCGAAACTAAAATATCGAAATCGACATTTACCGTCCGCCATCTTTGATGCGACAGTAACGTACGCAACCGTCGCTTGATACTGAACAGTGTTAATCATATATTAGACTTGTGAAAATTAAATTGATTTTTTAATTCGATTCTGACCAACAGGGACAGAAGGGCCAAAATAACATGGACACAAAAAGTACAAGTCTGGTAGTCCACGTCAATGGACAAAAGGTGAGACTATATATTGTTTTTAAGAAGATTCTTTATGACCTCTTAAATATTCTTGAAAGTAAGTCAAATTGCTTGTTTTATTTCTGTCTATTTTTATTATCGATATAAACAAATGTATTTTAAATGTTACATATATCACACTGGTACTCACCTAGTTACGCTGACGATACGTCAGTGTAACAAGATCGAAGAACTTCCGGGGTTCGTTTTCGGTAAGATATTTTTTATTTTTCGATTCTACCCCATTTATTAGTCAAGTTGTGGACAATAATTTGGCTCAAAGTTAAGGAAGATAGTCTAGTTTGAGAATATGCAGGCGGTTCTATGTTTGGTACATTAACGAAGACGCAATTCACATACTTAGTCCCTCGCTTTTGTTACGTTGACGATCTTCATGAATATTGTCACATTGGCAATATTCATGAAGATTGTCAACGTAACAAAGGCGAGGGACTAAATATTTAAATTGCGTCTTCGTTAATATACCAAACATACAACTTTCAATACATGTATGTCATCAGAATACCATTACGTTTTTATTAAGACAAGACATAACATCACAGACAGAAAGATAAAGCCAAGCAACTACAGGCCAATTAGCCTAACCTCAATAGTTGTGAAAATGCTAGAAAGAATCGTAGGAGATGAAATTGTAGAACACTAATTAAAAATGATATACTGACAGATGACCAATTTGGCTTTGTAGCCAGAAGATCCACAGTTCTTATCTCTTGATATACATTGAGGATATAACCAAAGACATCGACGACGGGAACTAGCAAAGCGTTCGACAGTGTCCCGCTTGAACGTCTGCTCATAAAATTGAAATCTTATGGAATATCGGGTACTGTACTTGCCTGGATCAGATCTTTTTTCCAGAGAGTACCAGTGAATGGAATGACATATGAGTGGACATATGAGTGTTATCTAAGCTTCGCCTTTGTGCATTATGTGTATGGGATAATACATACACTTATGCTTTTATGTTTCCAATATAGAATGATACACGATTCTTTATTTCTATCTGATGGTTTCCAGTGGTTTATTTCAAGGCTCAATGACAACAGGAAACAATTATTTTACCGATCTTACTTGTGATTCGAGCACTATCAAGCATAGCCAAGCATCAAAAAGACTAAAACAATATATCAAGTAGCTTGGGAATCGAACCCAGCCCAAGGAATGATCAGTTCCATGGCGTGAGCCTACACAACTTGCAGGATATTTGTATCATCATATCACATTATTTTTGACTTTCCAAAAACAAAAAGTCTCTGTTTACGCAACATTCTATCATTATTTTATTTTTATACTCAAATATCTATCAGTATTTCATTCATTTTATTGACTTTATTTTATTATATTTTAATGTATGTATACATACAATATTGGTGCCAGTTTATCTTGGAATCTATGGAAATAAGCGTTGGTTTAAATGCTACCTAGATGTCAAGACCAGACGACTCGGAGCAAGGGAACGTAGCATAAGACTCACACAATAAAATTCAACTGGACTACATATGTCTAGACATGGGAATTAAACATTGACCACTTCAGAGCTTTCAAGGTGAACTCATATGACATGTCGGTCAATGTCCATGTTAAAGATATACACCCGAAAGCGGAGAAAACATTGGAATATTCATCTATGGTTCTCATATGCAATGTACTGCAGTATGACTCTAATGGCTACATGCCCCCATCATATAAGTTCCATTATCAAAATCCAGGTCCATTACCGAGACTTAGGGACAGTTCATTTAAATACAAAAACCATTACAATAAACGTTGAAGCATAATACATTGAATATAATAGTTACAAATATTTTGCGTGAAAAGTAGGTCCATGGGAGGTATTCTCGTACATTGTCTTTCGATTGTTTATTTTCAGGTTTTACTGACGCAGAAAACAGTAAATGGGGCTATAGTACATAGTGATCAATTACATGAAATCATAGCGTGTATGGTCGTATGACAACATCAATACTTTACTACTTTAAATGTAGCTACAAAAATGATACCAGCTAAACAAGATTCATGACACTTCAAATATTCAATTAAAAGTAAAGTACTAGTTTAGAATTTATTGACATTAAGGGAGTCAACGCATAACATAATTGAAACGAGTTTTTGAGTCGTGTGTGTGGTGTCAGAAAAGACATTTGAAACAACTTAACTCGCTTTTGTATTAAGACATTTGAAACAACTTAACTCGCTTTTGTATTTCAGATTGTAAAGGAAAATGCAAAACCAGAGACAACTCTATTGCAGTTCCTCAGACGGGAATGCATCCTTTTAACTTTCCTTATATATAAATTCCCTTTTCATTTTTTCAGTGGGAAACTTGGTTTCCTAATAATCATGCATTGTCCACGATTATCACAAGAGGCATGCGTCATATATTGACGGGTTGGACACAGTCTTCATTCCTCGGGAAAACAATGTTTTGAAAAAAAAATATCCACATACTAACATTACTGGCCCCAACAAAGGCTTAAATTAATATTTTGTTTCTTCTAGCTAGTAAGGAATTATATCCACTGGGTCGAAAATCTGAAGCTATTAACTTTATATTGCTCTGATTAAAATATAAAATGATAAACAACTTATCAAACTTGCCAGGATATTATGTATTCTTTGGCAAGGTTTGAAGGAAGTTCAAAATACATTAATTTGAACAATATGACGTGAATCAAAGTTATACATATGACATTTCCAAGAGAAAGATGTCAGAAGTATGAATTTACAGTAAAAACATTTTAGTCATAAGTTCCTTAACTGCTATCAGTATGCCTGACTGGTACAAAGTTGGCTTGCGGAGATGGTGGATGTGGGTCTTGCACGGTGATGATCTCTAGCTACAATCCCAGCAGCAAACAAATAAGGTATTTCAGTTATTTTGTGCTTTCCGGTGTTCGGATATAACTAATGCTAATCATTTTTTGTCACTCTGTCATGTTCAATACATTTTAGGCCGATACAAAGATGGCAGCACTAGTAGACTTTTATGTAAACAGATTGATCCCACTGCCATCTTTATTTAAAGTTTATCTCCATCGGCCTTTAACGTATGTTATTTTTTTTATTTTTTTCTTATTTATTTATTCATGTAGTATAATTATGATCAAATATTACATTTACACACTAGATACCTATAGGGGGGTGTATCAGTGCATTATCAAAATTTGAAAAACCATAAAGGTGTACAATTTATATGAGTGAAGCATGAAGACATACAATTTATAATAAAACATGATATAAAGTATGAAAATATGAAAATTTTTCCCGATTATTATTGTATTGTGTCTTGGTAGAAAGGTCGATCCTCGTTTTGGCACTTACGTTTACATGGTATCAAACATTTTTAATTCCACAGGCACCTCAGTGTGAATGCCTGCCAAATGCCTTTAGTAGCTGCGCATGGTTTATCTGTTACTACTGTTGAAGGGATAGGTAGTACAAAAACTAAACTCCATCCTGTGCAGGTATGTATCCTGATAGCATTGCGCAAGTGTAAGTGAACTCGCTCTTTAGGAATAGACAAAAGCAATTCACCGTGACACCCTTCTTACTTCCTCATAAACTTAAAACACAAGTTATACCTTGTTTCAATGCTACGATGTAATTATATTCAACTTTGCAATAAAATTAGTTGCGTGTCCAGTAGAGGTGTCAAGTATTAACCGGTTAACCGGTTAACCGCCGATAATGCCTTGACCGGTCTGTGTTTTTATGGGTGGTTAGTTGACCGTGTATAATTCTGTTATTTTCCGCGCTAATATTGCATGCTAATCTGTTTGGTTTTAAAGTGTCAGTTTCACGTAAGCTACTCATACATGTCATAAGTCTGATAACTCTTTACAAATACCCAATCAGAAACTTTAATCCCTTCCACATTGCTTTCCCGCGCTTACTTTGCATGTTAATCTGTTTGTTTTCCAAGCGTCAGTTTCATGTGAGCTACTCATACACGTGATAGGTCCGATAAGTCCTTACAAACATCCAATCAGCAACTTTAATCTCTGCCACATTGCTTACCCGCACTTACTTTGCATGTTAATCTGTTTGTTTTTCAACTGTCAGCCATGTGTAATCAACTCATAGGCCAGATAATTCCTTACAAACATGTTTACATTTTTTTGCATTTTTTAATTCGTCAGTTTTGTTATAATTGTTGTCTATCAACGTCGCCAAAATGTCAACGGTCAAAGCCTCGCTTTGGTGGTGAGAAAATTAAAATTAAAATAAACACTAATCAGCTGTAATTCTCGTTGTTATGGTGCGTTCGTGGAGATTCCAAAGGTAAACCAGTGTGGTAAGTAATTTAGAGGTACCGGTACTCAGGTAGTGTATGAATAGAATAGAGAAAAGCTTGACGAACGTAAAAAATAAACGCCGATATATCATTTTTCCAATTTTTTCAACTTTCGAGATCGAAGATTTCATTTGAAATTATCAGTTCAAATTTCCCGCCGGTAAAAACACCCGGTTAACCGGTTAATGCTCAAGCAGTTAATTGACACCACTAGTGTCCAGGATAAAGCATTCGGCAAGTATATACTAGGAAGGCTGAATGAGGTTTTTGAATTACTTCAGGAACGCCTGGCAAAAGCCTATGGAATCCAATGTGGGTTTTGTTCTCCTGGGTTTGTGATGTCAATGTACACATTGCTACGTAATTACCCAGAACCCTCCATGACTCAGATAGAGACAGCATTTCAAGGTAAATCAGACTGAATCGTCATCATGATATTTATGTGGATAAATGTGCTATGAAACATCTTTAGGTGAGCAACAAACTAATTGAAGAATATTCGAGCATATAACAATTTGTCTGAAATGCAAGAAGCACAAAAAGATGCTATCAATTGCAACGATGCTACGTTTGATTTTAGGCAATCTTTGTAGATGTACTGGCTATAGAGCCATACTGGCTGGTTTCAGAACATTCAGTAAGGTAAACTTAAACAGCATAGTACAAATTGAGCTATTCAATTATTTTACAACAGATAAGAATCATAAATTTTCACAAATGAGTTGTGTTGGGAAATTACGATATGCTATAGTATTGGGTTTATCTATTTGCAATGATCATTGCCAACGGCCTTTACTCATCAGTGAATTGTCTGTTTTGTTACAATAGAGAGCATGAATATATATTCTTTATTACTAAGGAATGGACGTGTGAAGAAGGAGAAAATTGTTGTCAGAACAGAAAGCTCCCTGATGGTGAATCTAAGGTAAGTATGGCGTTTAAATTCCACCAGTGTAGTAGTCCTAGTCAAATATTTATGCAGGAGATGAAGTGAGGACGACCTTTAAGGAAGTATGTCATTTTCTAATTATGTACTTATTACAGGTTTGTTCTAAAACATTTGATGCCAGTGAGTTTGCGGTGTATGACCCGACACAAGATCCTATCTTCCCTAGTGAACTTCAGGTTAGTATCGGGTAGCTATATATTGCATGATCTACATGATCTGTTTAACTTATACTACTGTATAATAGCGGTGGCAAGATATGCCATCATGGGCAAAAATGGTATATTATTAGTTCCAATCTAAAAGTTCTCTTTGAAAAAACTGAAAGATGTGATGAGTATCGAAATGAGGTATACAGGGTAATCAAAAAAGTCGAACCATTAGGAAGTTCATGATATGAATCACGTAAGATAACTCAACTAAGATAAAGCACAACGTCCACTTATTCAGGTCTCAGATTTCCTTTGAATTTATGAAGTAGTGTATCAGAAAAAAATACTTGAACCTGTATAGTATCTGTAACGACCCTGGGCACCCTCGTCCGGGGAGCTGAAGTGTAACGAGCCAGATCCTAGACATATAGTATCTGTAACGTCCCTGGGCACGCTTGTCCAGGGAGCTGACATGTAACGAGCCAGATCCTAGACATGAAAGGGACTGTGCTAAATTCACTGCCTTGTACTGGAATCAAACCCAGGACCTTCCGCTCCAAAGGCTGACGCTATACCGCTCAAGCCATAAGGGCTAGCCACTACAGCTCTACAAGCGACTTGGTATCGAGGGTCATTACCTATCTACCTATCTATCATAGCTTCTCATCTTATCTATGCCTTAGTTGGATACATCCTACCAAACCAAGAGTGTTTGCTTCAAGAGTCCAAATGTGGACTGGTATAGACCTGGCAACCTGGATGAAGTATGTCAGCTGAAGCGACGGTATCCGGATGCAATTTTCACAGTTGGAGCAACAAGTGTAGGTAAGCTGGAATTCAAGTTGATGCTAGAATCTATAGCTATGTATATTGTTAATATTTGAGACGATGTTATATTTCAAAACAATGTTGTCTAAAATAGGAAATAGCTACTATATTAAAATATGTAACCCATTTTTGTTTATTTTGTTTTATTCAGGAAGATACATACGCAACAGTCAAAACAAAACGGTGGTTATTTGCCTGACTAATGTTCAAGACCTAAACATTATGAAAGAAACTGATACGTGTATTGAGACTGGAGCAACAGTCACACTTGCATCACTGTATGAATTTATCGAGATACAAGCTTCAAAAAGTGAAGGTATACTAATTACATATTTCAACCAAAGTTAAACCATTCGCCCTTAATTGGGTTGTTTTGTATTGTGATACAGATCAAACTGTATATTGAAGCCCCAAAAAACAACCTTAATAGTTAAACTATTGGAGGTACTGTTTTCCTACATATTTTCCTGCCGGATTTAAGGGCAAGGTACGTTTAAGGAAAATGTGACCTTTTCCATATGAACTTCATATTTTTGTGTATCAGTGATTTCCATAACTACAAATAGGCAACTCTACCACTCTGGTATTAATGTTTCTTTTTTCCGTGATGTATATTGACCCTTCATTACATATTAATCGAACTTTTAATACGTTGTCATTTAGGAATGAAGAAGGCTGGTCTAGAGAGTATTTTAGATATGCTTCATCAAATAGGTGGACAGCAGCTGAGGAATGTAGCTGTAAGTAAAAATACATTTAGCAATTGTATTACCAGTTCAAAAAACATAACCTACAAAAACCTAATTGAGATGAACCTATCCCAAGGTTATATTTACAAATGAAGATATTGAAAATTAAGGATTAATGTACAACATTAATAGGCTATCTTGATATTTTATATAAAATTTATGAACCACCATGTTGTAGAGCATTGGCAGTAACCTTGCAAGTGAAGGATCAACATCTGACATCTGTACAATGATGATAGCAATTGAAGCAACAGTGGATATATATAATCTATTAGGTAAGATATTGTAAAGAAGTCAATGCCAAATTGGTGCTACTTAATGATTAGATTGTGACATCATAATGAATACAAGAAAGCATGTGGTTCTGTTGTCGATACACTTTATATTTAAAAACCAGGATTTCATGAGCTGGTTGTGAAGTGTAATAACCTTCCTATTATACACTCAGATAAATCTACTGAGAGAAGGCAAGTTTTGAAACTATACAAAGAGGATGGCAAATCTGCTTTACAATCTGATGAGTTGATTACCGCTGTACATATTCCATTTATGGAGCAAGTAGGTCCATATATAAACCATCAGCCAAAAGTAACCTATAAAATCCCGTATAATGATTCTTTAAGAGAATATGTTTGATTTCGTTCAATTAAATTGATTTGGTCCATTAGCTTACAACTTAAGAAATCATGAAGTGCAGGAATTAGCTCTACAAACCAGATACATATTTTTATGGGCACATGATGCTTAAAAGAATAGTAAATTCGTTGTTTTTGTTTCTTATAGGATGAGCATTTATATTGGCACAAGCATGCAGAAATGACAGATTTGGTCAGCGCCACCATCAACTCAGCAATGAGAGTGAAGTTTAATCCTGGCACTAACATCATAAAGGATTTGGTTCTTTGCTATGGTGGTATTACAAATAAAACTGTTCTTGCTAATCAAATTAGAGAACAAACTAGAGGAAGGTGAGAAGTTGTACTTCTACTTTTTATTAGACGTTCAATTTGTATCAAAGAACGAAGATTGAGAATACACTACAAAGATATATATTAATCCAAAATGTACAAAATGCAAGTTCTTAAAAATTTAAAAGCTTTAGTTTTAGATAACAGGATTTTCATTATGATGTTATACCAATGCTTTTTACCTCTTCAGAGAATGGACAGATGATACTATGTCCTTTGTTTGTGGTCTCCTAGGAGATGAGCTCAATGTATCAATGCCCTCTGTTGGTGGAAGTTCCAACTACAAGAGATCGCTTACAACCAGCATTTTCTTCAAGTTTTACATTAATGTTCAGCCAAGCCTTCGTAGTACAGAGGTACATTATTAAGATAGACACTTAGACATGTTTAATATACTGCTAAATAAGTTGCTTTAAGAGAGAATCGTAGAGAATATTTTCCCCTGTATAATAGGCAGTTATTTCTTTTATTATAGCGGAAAAAATATAATACGTATTTTTAAGAATTATTTTTGATTTAATAATATTATTTGTGTATTATTTAAAGGGAACAACATATAATACCATATAATATAGAATAATATTCCTGTCAGGAGCAAATAATATGTTGGCATTTGCAATCAAAAACCGATTATACGCTGTTATTTTCAAGCCGTTAATCCCTAATTATTCAATTCCTTTGAAATGAGTTTCATTCATACTGATAATTAATCCATTTGTTAGGGTTAATGGATTAATCTCTACAGCTGATGGCTCTTAATTCCACAAAAATAATTTGCAAAATAAGTTTTTACATATATATTTGATTGTATAATGTCCCTATTGTTATGATTAACATTGTGTTAAATTTTTGATTCAATCAATTAATTCATTGTAAAGTTAATTTTTTGAATTTTTAATTAATTGGTTTTCCTCACATTTTTATTCCATCGTTTTTCTGTCACATAAAGTTTATAGCAAACAACATTTAAATCGATCCCCTCTTACACAGGTACAAACAACCACCTGTAGTCACTTTGCCAACCGGAAAAACAATCATGACACGGAACTGCTCAATATTCAATAAACACATTACGCATTTTAAACAGACCCTTAGCCAAGGACCCCCCTCCCCGTGGCCAACAATACTTTCAAAATCATGTAGTTTTTCACTTCACATACATTGACATTTCAGAGCAATATAATAAGTCAAACTTTAATCCCTAATTATTCAATTTCCATGATTTGAGTTTTGTTTACACTGATAAATAATCTGTTTGTTAGAGTTAATGGATTAATTTCTGCAGCAGTTGGTTCTAATTTCAAATGAAAAATACATTGCAAATTTAGTTTTTCGTATTAATTTGATTGTATAATGTCCCTTATGTTATGATTAACATTGTGTTAAAATTTGGATTTAATTGATCCATTTAACAGAAAGTTAATTTTAATCAATGGGTTTCCTCACATTTTTACCCCATTGGGTTTCCATACAATTTAACTCAATTGTTTCTCTGTCAAATTAAGTTTACAATAAACAACACTTAAAGCCCCCTCTTACACAAACACCTTTAATCACTTCACAAACAACACAAAACATTTATGACACGAAACTGCTATATATCAGTACATTACGAATTTGGTATTGGTCCATGGCCAGGGAGGGGGGGGGGGTCGTTGGGTTCAAGTAAATCCCCTTCCTCCTTGCCAAAATTCTTTCAAAATCCTACATTTTTACCAATCTGAGCACTGTTAAGTGATTTTGGGCCAAAATTACCAATTGTGACCCCTTGGTTTGTTTTGAAAATTGATCCCCCGGGCTAAAACTTATTACGAGCCTGTAATATATTGGATGTATTGCTCCTGATTTCTTCTGGCAAATCACTGATAATAAATTAGGAAACGTGCATTAGATTAACTGATGCAAGTGGTGTTAAGTCATGCTAAAACAAAATTAAAACTTGTATTCTCTCACATTTCACAATTCATGTGTTTTCTGTTATTCATATAATATCTGAGATATAAACCAGGGATATAAACAACAGATTAGTCCATGAGGTATATACATTTGTTTCTACTACAATTAGCTATATAGACTTTTTTTAAAATTAAAGCTGGTTTTATTAACCTCTCTTTGTTTTCCATTTTAAAATATATATTCGGTATTTTAGTTGTTTGATAATGAAAATAAAGCGGGGACATTTTACATTTATTCTTAATGTTTCATCTGACAAAGCGATGATTATGCTTTGAGCAAATTGGTGCATGGTAGAACAGACTGATGTAAATAACATATTGGCATACAGTACATGTATGTCAGAGCAATATGATAAGTAAAACTTTAATCCCCAATTATTCAATTTCTTTAATATGAGTTTCGTAAACACTGATACTAATCCGTTTGTTAGTGGCAATGGATTAATTTCCTACAGCCAACAGTTCTAAATTCCACAAAAAAATAATTCAAAAATTCAGTTTTTCATATTTATTTGATTGTATAATGTCCCTTATGTTATGATTAACATTGTGTTAAAATTTGGATTAAATTGATTGACTCAACGGAAAGTTAATTTTTAATCAATGGGTTTCCTCACATTTTCACTCCATTGTTTGTCTGCCATATTAAGTTTAAAAAGCTTAAAACATTACGCATTTTATACAGGCCCGTACCTAACGAGTAACGATCCCCTCCCCTTGGCCAACAATTCTTTCAAAATCATGCAGATTTTCATCATCGCACATTCATGTATTGATTTCAGAGCAATATAAATAATACTTTAATCCCTAAGTTTTTTCAATTTCTATCAGATGAGTTTTGTTCACTGATTACTAAATCCGTTTGTGAGAGTTAATCCGTTTGTTGGAGTTAATGGATTAATATCTAGAGCCGATTGTTCTAATTTCCACAAAAAATAATAATTTGCAAATTAAGTTTTTCATATTTGTTTTATTGTATAGAATCTCTATGATTTCTATGATTTACATTGTGTTAAAATTTGGATTGAATCGATTAACTCATTGGAAAGTTAATTTTTTAATTTTTAATTGATGACTTTTTCACATTTCTACTCCATTGTTAACATTAATTTAAATCAAATTAACTTTCTTTCTTCTTAATATTTTTTTGTTAATATTTTTCAAATGGAAATAGAACAGTCAAAATAAAATAAGTGTGACATGTGTAAGTAATAGAGATGAGAAGGCCAGTAGAACGGTTGATCCTATTAACTGTCATGCTGTGCATTCTTTGTTTTGTTTGGTTAAGTAATTAAGCAGATGGATTGTATATCAAGTTGGGCGAGAATAATCGCGTATAATATTTTTTAGAACCCAAATAATACAATATAATTTGATATATCCTGCGTAGATTGGAAAATACAAGAAAATAATATTTTTAGAATGGAAAAAAATCTATATAGACTGCAATCATCAGTTTGGATTGATAAATATGACCAAATAATATTTTAGAAAGACAGAATAAATATAAATTGGGGCAAATAATTCTAAAAAATAATATTATACCGGGAATAAAACATCCTGCTACATTTTCTTATTGAGATAATTGGATTTGGTAAATGTTTATATGTACAAATAATATATTTGGATCTCACTTATTTTTAATTATATTATATTAATCTGTATATAATATAGTATATTATGCTGATTATATTTTTTTCCTTCATAATATAATATAATAATTACAATACTGAATGGAAATACTGTATTATTACGCATTTTTTTACACAAATATCCGAAAATAAAACATCTTTATATATATTATTTTATTGATTTCACCAAGTGAGAGTTAAACAAAATTATGCTTAAGATTTGCATCATATTACACACATTTTTGCATTTATACCAATCAATTGTACGTAATTGCTAATTCCAGAGTGACATCGTTCATGATTTGGCAAGTGTAAGACATAGACCACTAAGTAGTGGGAGTCAGATATTTGAGACTTTACCAGAATACCAGGATGGTATTGATTTTGTTGGCAAACCGGTACTGCATAAATCTGCCTTTCAACAGGCGACTGGTGAAGCAATGTTCTGTGATGACCTACCTACATATAGCAGTAAGAAATCTTTTAGTTGAAAAGAACTAAAGACAATATTATCGCAAAAAAAATATTGCCAAACTTGCAAGAATCCGTTTTGACTATATCATTTTCCGTCATGCGGTATAGTTATTTCATAGCAATTTGTAGAGACTACTATACTGGCATCATTTATTTCTCAACTGCTATGCTAAGTGTAAATTGTACAATTGGTACAGATGAAGTTCACATTGCTTTGGTAACTGGAAAGAGAGTCCATGCAAAGATACTCAGTATTGATGCATCTAAGGCAAAAAGCATGCCTGGTGTTAAAGGCTTCCTCGAATACAAGGACATACCTTACCCAGTAGATGGTTACATAACAACAGAGGGTATATTCGCCCATGAAAAGGTACTAACATCATATACAAAATCAGTTTAATTCACTGCTGGTCGATAAATGTCAATGTTTCAGAATTCTCCGACATTCCTGCATTTTCAGGACATATTAACCCTAATGTGAGCAGGGGGTCTCCCCCTCTGGATTCTATAAGTTGCACTTATATTATTCAAAAAATCCGAATGTTAAATATTCTACAGGCGTTTTCCGATTCTCTACTTTCATGCTAGTGTTCATAACATTATCTTCAAGGTATTATATCATGGACACACCATTGGAGCCATTGTAGCAGAGACCCTTGAACAAGCCATGGCCGCCAGACAACATGTTCACGTAGCGTATGAGGACCTTCCTGCTGTTCTCAATTTAGAGGTACAATTGCTATTAAATATATTTCTTTTTCTTGTTTAGAACCATAAAGATATTCCAAGTAATAAGTGTGCGCTGTTACATGACTAGTACCTTATTCATATTGTAGTCTGCTATCAGTGAGAAACGTTACCGTCCAAATCCAAAGGTTTTAGATGTAGGAGATGTAGAGACTGGATTCAAAGAAGCTGATTTGGTGTTTGAAGGTAGTTTTGACTTAGAATATGCTTGTAGAGACTGCAGTTGCCCATTATGTCAAGTATTCAGTGATAATCAATATTAATGCATGCGCATCGAAAACATACAGTGCAAAATTTCAGGATTAACACCATTTAGAACATAGCTTAAAACATGTGTCATCTGAACATTACTACAATCATTGTATTATATCTGCCCTCAAAGGGTTTGAACAGATATTGTGCCATTGTTGTAGGGGAAATGTCCATGGGTTCACAAGAGCATTTCTACCTAGAACCCCAATCTTGTATTGCTGTACCTACAGGAGAAGCAGGGGAGATAGATATCACAATATCAACTCAGTGCCTCAATATTGTTCAGGTTTGCACAATTTGAGATTTACTTGTTTTTAATGTTTTAGATTTAGAGGTAATAATCAAACATACGGAATGTTTTTCTAAGGTTTACTTCTCTGTTTCAGGCAAGCATCAGCCAAATGCTTGGAGTCCCTAAGAATCGTGTCAGATGTCATGTGAAGAGAGTTGGTGGTGGATTTGGAGGAAAATTATTTTGTTCTGAGCCGGTCGGAGCAGTTGCTGCATTGGCAGCAACCAAGTACTATTAAAATTATTCATTTATATATTTTTGGGCAGGAAGAAATAAAAATTATTCCAAATGACAAATTATTCTCGCTGCAAGATATCATCATATGTATATTGAAAAAATATTTCTGTCAAAAAAAGTTAAATATAGCTACCTTCAATTAATTATATATTTTTCTAAATTTCATATATTACAGACATCTTTACCATCTACATATATCCTATTTACGATATTATGGATTTTGATATCTTTAAGGTTCAACAGACCGGCAAGACTCATTCTTGATCGTGAAACAGACATGAGGAAAACAGGAAAGAGTATCAAGTTCCATGCCAAATACAAGGTATTTCACTGCCTTAAAACGACTTCATCAAGATTTAAAAATAACAATACATATATTAAGATGTGTAGGTACTTTTTACAAACATTTCCAAACACTACAACTTACAAATATTTAGAAAAACAGTATAGTTCCTAATTTCTTGATGATCAATGTGACCGATACTTACAGTTCTTGAAATATTTATTTTTGAAATATGTTTTTTTTCGTTAGCCGATAAATGCCGAATGTTGTTAACAGCCTTGAAAGGAGTATCTCTTGAAAAGAGTATTTTTAAATCCCAATCCTGGAATATCTTAAATCGGGACGATGTTCACATAATAGGTAGATTAGTAAAATCACAAACACAGTCCTCACTTTACATAAAGAATCGTTTTATTCAAAGAATCTTTAGATCAATGCTTTAAAGCCTGTTCGATTGTTCGTGTTTTTAAACGTGTTGATATATACAAAAAAATGGAATTGGAATAATAGTATAACAAATGCTTTTACAGGTTGGGTGCAACAAAGATGGGAAGATATTGGCTCACGAAGTCAACTTGTACGCTGACGGAAGCTTCTTTTCAAGATTGACCGAAACTGTAAGTCCAGCTTTTATCTTTTTGGGGGAATCTTGGAATTTTTCCAGTAATTTTCTATCGAAAAATATAACAACCAAAATTTAAAATTCAAATATGGCAATAATTTCTTCCTATAGGAAATACATCATATTTTATGATTTCGTTAGCGGCTTCATCATTCGCGTCAGTTTCCGGATTCATTATTACGATTATCTAGATTTCTCCGTGAGAATGTTTGTGTCACCAGCAAAAAAATCGACTTAAGATATAAAAGTACAGGGTGTTCAGGAAATAAAGATAATAATGTCATAACTTTTTTATTTGTTCATGCATTGCATTGAAAGTTTCAGAGATTATAGTTTTAACATATTTTTACTTATTGTTGGAGTTTCAGCTCCAGGTGATTTAATTGGTTGATTCTGTGGTTGTCATAGCAACGCGAGTAGCGCTAAGGCGGGGCAGGTGGAATAACTGCAGTATATTTGCATGCTTTAAATGTTTTAAAAAGAGATTCTATCATGTTTAGAACTTAAAATGGATGCTTAAAGATAATTATAACTATAAGCCTGAAATTTTTTGCCATTTATCAATTTATTCTACAATAATTTCCTCCAATTTAGACACTAACTATTTGCCTCTTGAACCTTATTCAGATACTTCACCGAATTATTCTTGACTCATTTCCTGAAATCTGTTTAATACATGCGAACGTATTGTGATAGTGTGGGAAATGTTTCCCGGGAATAGCATACAGGTAAAGGTCTTTTTGTACAGTGTTGGGCGGCCATGTTTAGTTTGCATCGCATGTATTTTCAAATTCTAAATGATTTTGAGACGATACCTGCATAAGCAGAGGTTGTACATGTATGTTATGATAAAGGTATGTAACATTATGTTTTGAGCTATATTTTTATGCTACTTTTGAAGGAGACATTGTTATAAGATGTAACCAATGTTCATTTTCAGTTTTCAGAATTATTTTGCATTTTCAACTTTCCATCAAATCTATTTATTCTCCTCATTCCGAGAGATTAACACAAGATTGGTCTTAGTTATACAGTAAGATTGTATTTCTAATGTATATTTAGAAATTCTTACATAATGCATGTAATGTTGCTATAATTGTATAAACATGAGTTTGACCTACATTTACAGAATCAGAGTTTGGGAATTAAGATTACATTTTTTGTATGTTTGCTATAAAAAGGCATTCGATGTTAAACAAATCTTGTATGCCTGTGTTTCAGGAGTGTTTTTAGTCCTGTGTGACGTTGGAGAATAAAAACATTTAAAGCCGATACATATTCTTAGTTTTTGTGAATTCCCCACGTTCACAGTATGACATGGGTATTCTCAAATGCATGTCCTCTTAAGTCCCGTTTTGATTCAGCGAAGAAGTATAAATCATTTGGCGCTAGGTTAGGTGAATAAGTTGGATGCTGAAGTTGCTCTAATCTCAGCTGATCAATTTCTTTAGTGATTACGGCAGCAGTATGGGAGGGGGAATTGCACCAAGTGGAAGAGAAATTGCATCCCGGGTTGCTTTCTATGTAATGCCTGCATTAATTCATGAAAATCCCATTGAATATCATTAAAAAGCATTCTTTTATTTGACTCTTCTATAATCATAAATCAAAACAATAGAAGAATTTTATCATGGAGATGCACCAAGAAAGCTTTAAATATGGAGTCAAAATCGGTTTGCCATGCTAAATGTAACACAGAAACTGCTGCAGTTATTCCATGTGCCCCGCCTTAGCGCTACTTGCGTTGCTATGCCAACCACAGAAATGACAAATCAAATCGCTTGAAGCTGAAACTCCAAAAGTAAGTTTAGATATATTGAAACTATAATCCCTGCAAATTTTACTGAAATCCATGAATAAATCAAAATGTTATGACATTATTATCTTTATTTCCTGAACACCCTGTATATAGGTGATCGTATCTGGAAATCTTGTCATATGCTGTTACCGAGTGCGGTTAATTTGTAATTTATCTCAATCAAACGGATAAGTGAATCACAAATAGGTGGTATTGCAGCAGGGTGATTGTGAATTGAACACCACCCTTGTCAACTTGTCCAATCCTCCCTTACAAAGATCCAACTTGAAATTATACTTTACATGTATATTTCATATATATAGGTTATTTAATGGGAGGGATGGAATATGGATTTTATTCCGAGGGAAAATATGATATTGGCCAAGGAAAATATCATATTGACCGAGGGCGATAGCCCGAGTGTCAATATGATATTTTCTGAGGCCAATATCATATTTTCTCAAGGAATAAATCCATATTCCATCACGACCATCAATAACCTATTTATTTCATAATATTTTTTTTTCAATTTTTGTATGTCATCATCCAATGATTGTGACATAAAATTGGGGATCTATCTCCTCGATCGGTCTGAGTTCATTCCTCTCACTCCGTAAAAAATCTACCGGCGGGATTTTTATGTCACTTTTAGTTTTCTTCGAAGTATTGATATTTTCTTGACCTTTAATGAAGTCATCAACATCCTCTGTTGCATACCTAGACATATTTGTCACAGTAACAGACCTTTGTCACAGTAATAGACGTAAACTAGATGATAATAATTTCAATAATTTCAATTTTCCAAACGATTTTTTTACTTCCTGTAGAGATGTGCTAGACGAAAAGCGTAAAACTCAAGAGAAATTACCGGGAATATTTCTGATACGGGATCTGATACGGGATTTTTGCTGATACGGGATCCAATACGGGATCTGATACGGGATTTTGGCTGATACGGGATCTGATACGGGATTTTTCAAATAACACTTTTATTCCCTGTTATTTTCCCAGGGAAAACATGTTATTATGGAATAATGGTTGTTATAATTGCAGTACATAGGCATCCAATTGCTGTTTCTGGTTTGTGACCAAGGCTATGCATTTAACAATGTGAAGGCCACGGGCTACACATGTGAAACAAACATAAATATGGGAATGCCAATACGAGCTTCAATAACCATTCCGTCAATGGTTTTCACACAAGCTATAATCAATGATGTTGCATTAAGGCTTGAATTGCCCGTTGAGCAAGTAAGTTTGGGTTTATTAGAGACAGTACAAACAAGTTCAGATTTAAAATAAACTTTTAACTAATTTTCAATTCTTTTAATTGAGTAACGTTGTCCGTGGTTCTATGAAACGGTTTAGTCTTTTTGATTTAATTTTTTAATTCTACCCATTACATTTATTGAGGATTGGCTCCAAGTACGCAATATCCATATATCTATGTGTATTACACTTTGAAATCTAACAGTCGCCATTTTTTCACTTCAGATTTTAAATCGGAGTCTTGTGATCTTTTTACATAACTGAAAAGTTGGATTGCTGATTATGATTTATAGCCAGTTTATTGTCTGACAATTAACGACATTTTCCTTACTGACTGTTTGAAAATATCAAGATTGCATTCTTGGGGCCAATCCGTCTTGCATTACATTGCATCACATACCAGATGTACTATACAATGTTCCGTCAGGTACATGAGGTGAACATGCTTAAGATTGGGGACTTGACACCTCTTGGACGTGAACTACCCGACGTACCTACCATGCATTCGTGTTGGCTGAGATGTTTAGAAAGTAGCAATTATGTGGAGAAAAGGAAAATTGTTGAAGAATATAATCAGTGAGTGTTAAATATGTACATCCTTAAATCCTCCTTGAAGCATTTAAACTAAACAATTGACACGCATATAAGACAATGTGAAGCTTTTCTTTCTTACTTTCCCTTGTAGATCATTTTAACTGAGTGTTCTTTATATTGTAGGAAATCCAAATGGAACAAGCGAGGTTTATATATAACCCCTATTAGCAGGAATGTTGGGGTACCGGTACATCTATGGTCCCAGGTATTTTACAATTTATCTGGCAAATACATTATATTACAAAACATAGTACTTGTTCACTTACTTTCACTTACTGTCGCCAGGAATATGTATTTCACCTATATTTTCTATATTGCCGATCTCGGTTTTTAAAGACATAGGCTTAAAAGCAGATTATACTATGACTTTAACTTATGGGCTATGAAGAAATTAGGAATCACCCATGATTACTTTGGAATATTTTCATTTAGGGTGCAGCTCTTGTGAACATCTACACTGATGGTTCTGTATGGGTTAATCATGGCGGCGTTGAATTGGGCCAAGGACTCCATACAAAGCTAATACAGGTACATCCATCGGATCTGTTTTGTAATCATTATATTATTTTACAGTTAGATATCACGTGAATTTTAGTAATAAGATTAATTGATAAATTATGAAGTAATTTGATTTTAGTGAGTAATAAAGATGGTGGTATACCTGTGGGATTGTGGGATAGCACAAGTTTGCAACTGTGATTATTTTAATTCTAATTGTATTATTACTGAGAGTGATAAACGAACTAAATTGTGCTGAAAACAATAATATTACCGTCTGAAACTAAGTACCAGAGTTCAGTAATAAACGTTTTAACAGAAACAAGCACTGGCTGCGTTTCTGATACAACATTCTCTGTAAGCTGTAATTAATGCATGATGTACATTTTAGGTTGCAAGTAAAGTGCTGCAAGTGCCACAAGATGTCATTCATATTACGGAAACAAACACTGATTGTGTACCTAATGCACAATTCACTGCAGCTAGCACAGGTTCTGATATATTTGGGATGGCAGTTAAGGTAATTCCTAATTCATTATCTGCAAAAGCTGAAATTTTCAATCATATTTTCATATATTATCGACTAACGACGGAAAGTGTACATAACGGCACAAAGACGAACATGTCAACATATCGAATCGGCAAGTCATACTCTTGCAATTTGATTGGCCAGCATCACTCTAAATAATTAATTATAAGGATGCTTTCTATTTACATCATTGTTTATAGTCACTGTGGTCGTCGGTGTATTGCTTATTGCTTCAGTTTTCATTCTGGCCAATACATGATCAATTGTAAACTTAGTTTGTATTCCCGACTGCAACTACCGGCTGCCCGCTACCGGTTTAACCTGATAATTTGCATAAATTACTCCTTCATTTTGAAGTTGAAATAATAAACAATCAATAGTCGACTGTTGTCAGTGATGCTATTTTTATTTCATTGTAACGAAAAATTATAACAAAGACTCTCGGTTGAATTAGCAAACAGATCGTAAGTCATTGGCACTTAGTGCTAAATTGGCAGAATTGCCCGTTATTTAGGTCAGTAATTGAGTTGGACGTGATAGTTTGCAGCTACTGGAATGAACGGTAGGTACCATGTAATAGATACCAATAAAATACCATAGGGACTATTCATATTTAAAAGAGTTTGTCATCAAATTGCAATCAATCCGGTAGCCGATATCCAATAATTTTATTCGTGAATACAAGCTAAGTCGATTCAGACATTACTATACATTTTCAGAATGCTTGTGAGAAGTTGATTCAGAGACTTGCCCCATATAAAGAAAGCAATCCAAAAGGCCAGTGGGAAGATTGGGTTAGTATATGAAAGAAGAATACTTGTGGGTAAATAAGGTACGGAAAATGACAAAAACACCTCTAGATACAATGTCGATCGTTTATTTTCCAGGTTTTAGCTGCATACAATGGTTGCACAAGCCTTTCTGCTACAGGATTTTACCGTCATCCCAAGGAATACAATTGGGACCTGGAAAACCCGCGCGAGGGAAACTTCGACAAATACTACGTATATGGGGCTGTAGCTGTTGAAGTTGAAGTAGATTGCCTAACAGGAGCTCATAGAGTGAGCAATCCTTTTGTTTGTTTTTTAGGATTTATTCGTTTGTCTTAAATAGCACATATAGTGAGCAATACTTTTGTTTAGGATCTATTCGTTTGTCTAAATGGAGTTTAAGTTTCAAATAATATCCAAATTACATTAACTATAATGACACGTCAGATCTATTTGGGTTACCTCTAGATTAATCGTTACTGTGTTTACTCCGCTTCTAATGATATTGTTAACATTATCACAACTATCAGTGTCATACGTTTGTCATATTGTTCCTCAGGTTATTCAAGTCGATGGTGTTATGAACTTTGGTTGAAGTTTGAGCCCAACCATACATTAGGCCAGATGGAAGGAGCTTTCATGATAGTAACATAACTGCAGAGCATATCAGTTCAAATAACGTATTCATATTTGTATACAGGTATTGCAAGTAGATGGTGTGATGGACTTTGGTAGAAGTTTGAATCCCACCATAGATATAGGCCAGATGGAAGGTGCTTTCATGATGGTAATACAATATAAATGAACTTCCATTTTTCTTGTTTCCCGTTTCTTTCCTTAATGTTTCATATAGATGTACTATATTCCAATTTTACTGATATAATTACGCTCTATGAACCGCATTGTAAATATACATTGGAAGATACATGTACAGGGTGTCCAATAAATAAGGTGAAAGATATAGTAACTTTCTTAATGTTGCACCAATCTTGCTGAAATTTTCAGAGTTTGTAACCCAAACCTTTTTACCTTTAGTCTGTGAATTTAAAAGGTCTTCTATTTGATTGGCCAGAGTTGTGGTTGCTATAGCAACCGAAACAACAAAAAGGCGGGGCTAGTTTGTTTACGTCACAACTTTCCAAAACATATTTATTCTTTCTGATAGCTTTATTCATACTCCCAGGTCTATTACTACCACAAATACAATATAAAAACAGTCTTAAAGTCCCATTGTTATGAAAACAAGCTATTCAACATAATGTCCATCTCTAACTATACACTTTTTATACCTATTCACCAACTCTCTAAACACACTTTCAAACCCATTCTTGCCCATTTCCTGAAGTCTTGCTAAGACATGTGATCTGATTTCCCACACATGTTCACTAGTGAAACTATTAGGGTACTGGGGCTACCCCTACTTGGACACCCTCCATATTCCCCAGACCTTGCACCCAATGACTTTTACTTATATGCAGAACTCAAGCGTGACTTGAGAGGAAATAAATTTGGATATACTGATGAAGTCAAATCACATGTCTAAGCAAGACTTCAGGAAATGGGCAAGAATGGGTTTGAAACTGTGTTTAGAGAGTGGGTGAATATAGGCTTAAGAAGTCGTATAGCTAGAGATGGACATTTATGTTGAATAGCTTATTTTCATAACAAAAGGACATAAGGACTGTTTTTATATTGTATTTGTGGTAGTAGTAGACATTGGGGTATGAATTAAGCTATCAGAAAGAATAAGTATGTTTTGGAAAGTTGTGACGTGAACAAACTTGCCCCGCCTTTTTGTTGTTTCGGTTGCTGTAGCAACCACAACTCTGGCCAATCAAATAAAAGATGCTTTAAATTCACAGAATAAAGGTAAAAAGGTTTGGGCTACAAACCCTGAAAATTTCATCAAGATTGGTGCAATATTAAGAAAGTTACAATATCTTTCACCTTATTTATTGGACACCCTGTATATAATGCAGGGTATTAAGTGTTGATGAATTCCAAACAAGCAAATCAAAATTGTATCATATAGGGGAAATACACAGTAAATATAATGCTTATCGATACTTACAAGGGATACGGATTGTTTGTATTGGAACAAGTTGTCTACGATGATGAAGGTAGACTACTTACTAAAGATGCTGCAACATACAAGATACCTGGTGTAAGGGATATACCCACAAAGTTCAACATGCAGATTTTAACAAGTCACAGTGATGAAGCAATACTCTTCGGATCTAAGGTATAGTTTGGCTAGCTTTGTCGATGTGTTACAAATTTGTTATTTTAAAAAGTTCAAAATTGAATATAATATAATAAAGACGATATACATACGCCAAGGGGATTTTTTGTCAAAATATGGTTTTATAATATTATGGGTTCCTTTTTAGGGAGTTGGGGAACCCCCTCTCCACATGAGTATTGCTGTACTGTTTGCCATCAAGGATGCCATAGCAGCAGCTCGTAAAGATGCAGGAATTGAGCAACCCTTCCAACTTAACAGTCCAGCTAATGCAGAACAAATTCACACTCTATGCTCAACAAAGATAATGTGATGGCAGACAATTTATGTGTTGCTTTAAAAATACAAAAAACGATAAATATTAAAAGAAAAACTACAGAATTGAAATACAATTACATCATATAAGTAAAGCTAAGCTTATTCTAAACGTTTACTTCTTTATTCAAATTTTCACAGAAGGAGCATTACACATTTGCTTAAACTAGCATGAAAATTTTGAATATGATATATTGAACAATAGTAGAAAACTGGTTGCTAAAGCAACTTGCGGTAAGTCTTTTTGGCCTGAAACCTTCTGGCTTTTCTGAAAAAAATTAATTCGACGTTTTTTAGCGAAAATAGTGTGACCCTAACCCACTAGGAGAAAAGTAAAAGCTGGTAAAAGTTTTGACTTAAAACAAACTTATACTTATTTATATGTTCTAAGGACATAAATTTCTGCATCAGCAATGGCTCGGTATTGTTATGTATCAAATAATGTAGATCGAATAGCCTTCCATATACAATAACTAATACATCCTCGTATCATTGTTCATTGTAAGAAATCATAGGGAATGTATCTGAATAATAATATTCACAAAAATGTATTATATTTATTTTTAACGATCAAGAAAAGTGGTTCCCGTTCTTTTTCTCAGTACATTAGTAAAGATCACAAATAAAAATAGCCTAAAGTTTCAGTCGCTATGACGACTACCCTAATATATGCAAAATATAAAAAATTATGTTGTTAGATAGGGGTTACCCCCACTTTACATAGTATTAGATAATATGGTTCGCTATTTAATGTTTATTAACTGTAGTTCGGTATTGGCTAACCTACATATTAACTAATGAACTAATCTGCGTAATAATATTAAAGTAATCTGTGTTTTAATGCAAATACATGAGTTATTATATCCTGTATATATTAATATATGTATATCAATGTCATAAAGGAGTCTCCAAGAACACAAATGATATATTATATGTGCTTAGATTTGACCTTTCAAAGCCTTGTAAATAACTGGTCGGGTTTGCCTTTACCCGAAAGTGGAAACAATGATATTGTCACTTGTAGCTGTGTGGTTATGGAATCGCTAACCTCTGACATGTTCATTCTTGCCTACTCTTAAATAGAAATAATCAAAAGAGGGTCCTATAAAACATTGACTAGTTTAATATGTTAACTTTGTAGTTTGCACCTATTAACTTTACATCAGATAAATAAGTGACTGAACTATGCTCATTTAAGTGGAAAAATAAAGGTTTTGCGTTCAACTAACATATGTTCCAAAGTTTTGGACAACCCTATAAATCCCCGTAACAAACGGGACTAAAGTAAGATATAACGAATAATTATTGCTGCGAAGACCCAACCTACAAGCCCACAAGATGACGTTGAGGCCGATGAATGAGTGAACCGTTTCGTGAAAAACGTGCTATCTTGTCCAAGCGTAAAACAACTCATTCGAAAAAAATCTATCCTTGCTCTGTGTGAGTGTTTACACCTACGTTTAGGTTCTCCAGAGACTGGATCAATCTCGAAGCATCCAGACGAGTTCTTGTACGTATTACAATACTCTCTTCCACCGGGTAAAAGAGCGGGTCTACAATCCGTGGAATTCACGCAAGGTCCCAATGTTCCAATATAGGCGGCGTCTACGAAAAAATATGGTTCTGTTATATATGAGACGCCATCAAATAGATCTTTGAAATTAGACGTCTTTGACCAAACTCTTTCCAATGTTATATCATCTCCATATTTAACACCATCTGGTCCAGACAAGTTCTTAAATTCTTCAAATATAGCTGTCATAAGATCGGGATAGAATCCAGTTGGTGGATCGACTAAGTAGTTCCCATCATTTTCGCCCCAATGAAAGGGACCATATGCGCCTAGCTTGAAGATCTTTGTGTCAAGAATAGTCTTCAGCAAGCCAGTGGCGTTCTGTTTATTTGGAAGAGGGAATAAATCATATTCATCCGCCTTACATGTATGGACGCTGAGAAATTCAAAAGGCAAGTTCTTTAGTCTCGCCTTTTGGTCCTCTCCTTTGTTCTGAACTCTCACAATCGCTGCATTTATAGCGATAGACAGATCCAGACTTGACCTCACGGGTGGTGCCCCATGGGGCTTATCTGTAGAAACGTCAGGACTCATAAACATTGCAGATGTAGAGATTAACCCACTGCTGAATGTATGGAGATCTTATGCGTGATGATCGGCCACGACTCCTCGTATTAGACCTGCTGCTATTTCACCAGCAACAACTGCCTTGACGAGATCCTCTTTGTGCGCAAATATAACAGGCTCGACGCTATCATGCAGCACTGTATGAACAGAGTGATAGTTTGTGAGACTAAGAAATCCAACTTTTCGGTTTGTTCCAGCTATAATTGCTTCATTGAGTTCATCAACGCTTTCACTAATATCTTCACCAGCAATTAATGTACACATCACGATGCAGATAATGCACATGACCCCAAAATAGTGTAACATGTTCTTTCTTGTGCAATTGTATTCTACCAGCCACTAGTATTTTTTTATATTACAGGCTCTCAATATCATACCCGAGTTCCCCAGGAACTATTAATACGATTTTATAGAATAACCCAGAGTATTAAATAGTATTTGGACTTGTCTGTATAATAGACCCCCATTAATAACTTCATATAATAGTTTTTAGCTGAATAATTAATACAAAAAATAATATTCCATACTGAATGTATTATGAATTATTAATTTTTCTAGGTGTAATAAATCAAGCCCTCATTTATACAATAATACAAAGTTCAAACAAATACGTGACTATACTAATTCCAATCAAAATAAGCAGGTGCAAGTAATTTAGCTATACAAATCAAAGTTCGTTTTCCACTTTTTGTTCAAAATATACATAAATTGATTTATTTCCTCAAATAACTACTTCATTTTTGTGGTTTATTGAAATGAATTGTTATCTGTTACATGCATCGAAAAATTGTCTTCGTCATCTTTGTCATATTTTCATTGACTCCGTATTTTCGACCTCTTCTTCGTCTTTCAAATTCGTTTCAGATGACGACACGCGGTTTTTCCTGAAACATGTATGAACATATTTATTCTGATAAATCAGTGGTAATGAGTCACATTGTTAATTCCTCCATTTTCATAACATTCTACATGAATTGTATATCACATTGATTGGTGAAATGTAAAACTGATTTAAGATATGCCATCATTTACCAATATAGAGCCTTGTTGAAACGTAGATAACATTATCATTTCCAATCTGATGTAATTAATTGATTTTAAGAGTCCCGAGCGAAATTCGATTTAAAAGATATCAACAGTGTTAAAGATGCTCTAACGGGAACTCCCGGTTTCCCAACTCATGGAGGAGTGTTTGTATTTACCTTTTCAAGTAGGTATGCACTACTTTAGCACCAAATAGGAAGGCAAGTACACATGCTACCCCAACCACTAAGCCAACGATAATGTTCGCTGTTTCTGCAATCTGACCACCGGATGAAACTGAAGACGTGCCACAAGTTGGTCCACTAAAGCCTGCAATATAAGTTTTCAACTCAAAAGAAAGACATGGAATGTGGAAATGAAACTAATTTGGATATAACATTGACGGGTAGAATGTAAATATTTTGTTGAAAATAACATTTTGAAAAGTTTTGTAAATTAGATGGTTTATCAGATTTTACTCTTTTGAGATACGTTCACCTGATTAAGTATTACCATGCTTTTTAAACAAACATTGATATAACGAACTATTTCTATAGTTACCATCAGGACAATGGCATCTGAATCCATTGAGAATATCAACACATGTCCCATTGTATTTACATGGTACTGATTGACACTCATCAATATCTGTTTCACAATTCTTCCCCGTTGTACCATCAACACACCGACACTGATATTGGTTGATACCATCGATGCATGTTGCGTTTTGTTCACAATGTCCACTTTGGCATTCATCTATATTCGTTTCACAGTTGACTCCAGTTGTTCCTTGTATGCAGTTACATCTAAATCCATTCACTTCATCGATACAAGGACTGTTGTGTTGACATGGGTCACTTGCGCACTCGTTGATATCTGTTTGACAAAATTCACCTGTATATCCTTGGGAACACACACATTGGAAGCTGTTGATATTGTCCAAGCACGTACCGTGTTGACAGGGAGAGCTTAGGCATTCATTGATGTTGTGCTCACAGTGAGTACCGTTGAAACCAGGAGAACAAGCACAAGCATAGCCATTCAACCTATCAAGACAAGTAGAGATGTGTTGACATGGTTCACTAGCACACTCGTCGATATCCGTTTCACAATTTAAACCCGTCGTTCCATTGATACAAGCACACGTGTAAGAGTTCACCCTATCGATGCAAGTGGAGTTGAAATAGCAAGGCTCGCTCTGACATTCGTCTATATTTATTTCGCAGTTTCGTCCAGTGTAACCAACCGAACATGTGCATGAATATTTGTTGACGTCATCAGAACATGTTGAACCGTGTTGGCATGGTGAACTAGCACATTCGTCCACGTTTACTGAACAAGTCACACCGACAAAGCCGGGCAGACAGGCACACGTGAATCCGTTTACATTATCGGTACAAGTCCCTCCGTTAGCACAAGGTGAGCTTGCACACTCATTGATGTTTGTCTGTAACAGCAAAACGTTTGAGTCTCAATGAACATGTTGTTACAGTATCTATAGCGATGATGTCACCGTTACCAAAAATACTTAATTTTGTCGATTCGTATATTTTGTAGAATTGTTACAACTTACCTGGCACAGGTCGCCAGCGAAACCAGCCGCACAGGTGCAAGTAAACTGGTTGATGTCATCGACGCAGACGCCTCCATTTTGACACGGTCCACTTGTACATTCATCGATATTAGTGCTGCAGTCTTTGTCTGTGAACCTTTAATGGCATATTCAAAGTTAGTTAAAGATAGTACAAAACAGTTGTCATTCATTAATAATATGTATTTCAGCAAATTCCAACATTACACTGAGTGAATGTAGAGGTATATAAATGAAATGTCACCTACCCTGGCTTACAGCTACACTTGTACTCGTTGATGAGGTTTGTACATGTTCCATCATTTTGACATGGAACACTTGTACATTCATCTACATCGGTTTCACAGTGAATACCTAGTATGCACAAAAAATGGTTCAGTTTTGTTTAATCAATGGATGGACTCATATGGGATTTTTCAAAAACCTGATTGTATTTTGTTCAGAAGCAATTTGCAGCCTTTTGCATAATGAGTCTAGCAAATATAGTACCCTCAAAACAGACCAGGCTTTGTTAGAAAGTTTCATAATGCCACAGATATTTTCAACGATCTACTATAATTGACATTTAAGTAAATGGGCGAAAGCCGAGTCTAATTTCTATAGTAACACATATCTCCAGGGCTCACCGACAAAACCAGGGATGCAGTTGCAAGAGTATCTATTCACTCCATCAACACACGTTGCACCATTTTGGCACGGGCCACTGAGACATTCATCCAAATCTAAAATAGAATATTATATCATTTACTATTATGTTAGGTTGCGATATGGAATGTAGTGATAGTGCTATATTACTTCTAGTTGATGGACAAAGTTTCTAAGATCGTATGGCACTGTAATTAAGTTTTAGCATACAAAATACAGCAAAACTTACTTCAAGCCAGCAAGTTTCTTTATATACTTACCGTATGCAGCTATAGTGATGCATCTTGACTCGGACGCAGCACTACAAGAGATAATACAACCATAACATGTTTATCAACGTATTCTAAAACTTTCTGTCATAGTATAAGTCATGTATTCAATGTAGGCCTACCAATTGCATCGTTGGACATACGCTAACATTTTATATCAGTTAGAACCATACAAGAAATTCTATATGTTGATACTGTGTGAAAAGGTATGCCTCGGTCGCATTTACTATACGGCAACCATGTGGTGACCGTATGTAGAAAATCTATTGTCCTTATATTTTGTGCTGCATATTTCTTGAGTTTTATTGAGAAGCTACATTCGTCGCATGGTTGCAGCATTATACCGACATCTAGACTCACCCATTTGAATCAAACGCCTGGAAACAAAATAGGTTATCCCCAGCCTGACTGACCGTCGGCGTCCATGTTGCGGTGATGACCTTGACGTCATTCCTTCCAAGGTCATCATTTTGTAAGTTGCCCTTTATGAAGCCTTGCGGCGACACAAACGAGAATGATACAACGCTGGAATGAGGATAGAATATAAATAACATAATTTCAAAATTTACGACGAGATCATCTTGAAATGCTATGACATTTAAATCACATTTCAATCGAATTCATTTTTTGTCTATTTTCACCAACCATCCATGTTGAGATGTTTCGAATTCATCGTGATGTTGTGCATAAATTGACATACTTTGAATTCGGATACATCGGGGAAGAAGCGTAAATCTTTGTCGTAAATGTTGCGGCTGGTAAAACACGGACTCTTGTATCTCCAGCTAATGTTGGGGTTACAAATTCAGGTTTTGCATCACACGCAGCCTGTCCCCCTGCGAATGTAGGGGTCGTGATCAGCACCTAAAGAAATACGTAGCAGCGTTTTTGCAGCATATCCAGATGTCCATTGAATAAAGATAAAGTTGATACAGGCGTTTGTGTTAAATATGATATGCCTGATATAATTGAATCTGTAATCGAGATAATTATGAACAAGATAATAGCATGACCTAGAAAGGTATTACCAATGGTAATAACATGTTATAATAACGATGAAAACATTCAATTCAAATTGCATCATCCTCATGTTGTACCTTACCCCACGCATTCAACTATCACGCTTAATTTGGTACGGTCCCTGTGTTGTACATGTATGGTAAAAAATAATTCAAAAAATATGAAGATGCTTTTCATTTCTTGCCTAAGAAATGAGTAGAGTGTTACCCATATTTTTACATATTTTCCCTGTTTTTTAACTTGGATTGTTTGTGAGGTGAGTGCCATTGTGTTGTACATGTATATGGTATATAAATAATTAAAATAGAAATATGAAAATGCTGTATACCTGAAGTGGAACGGATGATAATGGTTGAGCGGGTGTCTTCCTCTCACCTCCAACATATATTGTACTCTTGGGGTAGTCCTCGATAGTTATGGTGACTACGTACCAACCACCTGATTTGTAGTTGCCCCCCGCAGTGAAACTTACGAGGCATGTATCCTTTTATAAACATCACATAGTATTTTGCATTTTTGAAATTTCATTGGATTTGTTGAGATAATTTTCAATAATTCTGCAATGGCATATGGTCGAATATGACGAATTAAGAGATTGTTTTGTCTTAATACATCGAAGCATTGGCTAATATATAACCTAGACATACTTTTTGTGTGAATGCTCATCACTCATTTCCATATTTTATATGTATAGACACAACTGTGAATAAACTATACATACCGGGTCCAAAACTGCATTTGGAAGCAGATTACAAGCAGATCCGCACTCATCCCCGACTGACCACCGACACTTTACAGTGTCTTGGTCCTCGTCCGTTAGAGGCATCGTCACCTTGTTATGGCATCCATAACCAGCACTGAAAAGTATATTCTACGTATTAGCATACGATATTTGAGACTTTAGCAATGCATATCAAAAAATCGAAATGTAAACCTGGACGCAAACGTTGTCCAAATGCTTGTCGTTTTCTCGCATAAATAATCGTTCAGTTACGGTACTTATTAGTCCGTTGCATAGACTACACATCATCGTGTCATATGCCATTAATAGTTATATAGCTAGTTTTCTATGATACATTTTAAACAGGTTCGTTTGGTAAGATATTTAGAGCTAAATCATGTATTACATATACATCATTTTCTTCAGAAAGCATTATACTGTGCATCGAAATCAAAATTGCCAGCATTGTATTCAATAGACATGAGTTAAATGATTCCCACTGACACCAACGGGAAATTGCAAATCTCCCGTTCTAAACACAGCTCTGAAGCTGATCGGGTATCTGAAGTAGACTAAGTAGCGCTGGTTCTGTACGACTATATTGCGTTCACGGTTACGTTGTGAAAAATATCGCTAGCTTAAACTCTCATTTGACTTTATGACTTAATTTTTTTCTATTTTGGATTGTTCTTTCCCGTGTTTTTTATATTTGATATTTTGTCACGACCCCGAAGAAGATAACCACTAAACATGAATACAAAAATGTACAATTACAATGTATGTAATGACAAATAACTCACCGAATTATTCCTTGAGATGCAGACGTAGGTGTTTTGTTTGGTGCTCCAGTGTCACTTCGTATACGCAGATCGACGGTTGTCTGTACGCTCCAAGAAGAAGCCGAACCATAATCAAGTGCCCTCCATGCAGACCCGTAAAATCTAAAAATACAATATTAGACATTTGACTAATATCCAATCCAATTGGATTGCTATATAGAAATGTTCGACAAAAATGCCTTTGCTTATATCAAGCGCGTCTTAAAGAAAGTAAGTATATCACTGTTTGATGTTTTCCAAAACTGTCTTTTATTGTTATTGTTTATCTTTTATTGTTGATTAGGCTTGGAGAATATTTCACTCACCCGACAATGTATGGTCCAGCACCGGGAAAGCGATAAGTGAAAGTGTCCTCTCCGCTTTCGTAGTTTTCTGCCACATTTATTTCTGTGATCCAGTAACTATGTGCGTGAATGTTTATGTTGCTGGTAGTACATCCTTTACAAATCCAATTACCCTTTGAGCACGCTCCGTAAGTGTTTACGTGACCCGCATGACAACCAGAACAACAAGGCCCATATCCAAGTACCCATGACGATCTGTACTTGAACTCAACCTGTTATTATTGAATTGATATTATTGAATTTGATAACGTTGGACTCGATGAACCGTTGGATATTCTTAAAGTCAAGATTCAAGGAAAATTACGACGACGATACATTGCAAGGCATAATTGAGGATATTGCAAGTAATTTGCAAGTTTGAATAACCTCTTTGTTGACTTTTAAAATGACAATTTTATAATATACTAAATAATAAGTGCATATTACATATCAACAACAAACGGAGTTAACGATATGGGACCCTGGTATAGAATAAAATAGACAGTCCAAAATTGCCGCCCTATCATTTAACTAAAATGCCCAAAAGTAATGACAAACTATTCACAACACAGAAAGGTTTCGATAAAAACATAATAGAATGTCTAATAAATGTTATTCACCTCGTTGTTTTGTATATTTTTTACTTTCCAGCTAATTGTTGCTCCATTGAAATGTGAACCATATCCTAAAACAGTTACAAAGGAGTGGTATCGATATGGAGAACGGAATTCAACAATGTTTTTCTCTTAAACCAAGCATTGAAAACATTCTGTAAAAAACACGTTATTTTATGTAATGTTGACTGATTGACAACAATTTAATGCGAAAATTATTATATTGAGAAATATTTTACAGGGTGTCCGGAAAGTAAAGATACAAACACTCTAATTTTAAGAGATTTAGTTTTTTTGTAATGAAATTGCTACAGATTGTAAAGGAACTATCTTACAATACATCTACCAACTTTTATAACATATAGTCTAAACGTGTTAAAGTTACGATTGTCATGGTTACGGTGGTCAGGGGTATGCGGAGCAGT